GTATTCCAGAGTCATTGTGGCATTAGAGAGGGTAGTTTTTAAAAACAAGTTATTTTCTTTCTCTTTTGCCCATAGGAAATAAGAGCCTAGCTAGTTCTCTACCTCAGTCCTGGTGTTAAAAAAATGACAGTAGCCTGCAATATCTGGCAGGTGGAAATTAGTGAGAGGGATAATTATTGCCCTTGAAAACTTGCCTAACTGAGCTTTGTGCAACATTTTGGGAGTTCACCAGCAAAGTTTGTATGTTGACACAGGTGATGACACATGCTGACACTTGTTTGTATGGAAGATTTAGTAGCTTGGTAGGACATGGAAACAATACAGCTCTCCTGTTTCACCAAAGGCTTTTATTTGCTAGGTAGCCTATAACTTAGTGCTCTCTCCTCCTTTCCCTACTAACATAAACTCATTTGCTTTTAATCCCTTCTATATTCTATTGGCCAACTTACCTTCAAACACAATATTGATCATGTCTTTCCTCATCCTCCTTTACTTGTTGTATCAAGTTCCGAATTCATACTCAAATTCAAAGCCTCAATGACCTCCAAATTTTTCTTCTTTTAAAACCCCAGCCAAAGAATACACTCCAGTTATTTTAATATGTTTAAGACTTAATCCTGTATTCCTCTGTAAATCTTCAACCACCAGCCCAGGCTGGTGCTTTCTTGCGCCAGTGGGATAAGCTCAGTGACCATAGAGCACACACTTAAGACCTCTAGGTGATCGCCAAGAACTTTTCCCACTCAAGTATCTAGTGACCTTGTGCCTCTTTATTCCTCTCTAATACGAGTGTTCCTTAACTCTCTTATGCGCCTGTGCCTTCTCAGGGTGCTATAAGACCCTGGGATCAGGGACCTCATCTGTGGATTGTGTTGATCACATCCAGGGTTGAATACTCAACTCTGCTGCAGTCAAAGAGCATCAGATTTGCAGTCAGACCAATCCGGGTTTCAGTGCAGCACTCTCACTCACCAACTGTGTGAACTTGGGAAGATTTTGTTTCCTTTTTTTACCTTCCTGAACCTGAAGTTTTTTATTTTTAGGCTTCTGCACTGGTTTTTCCTGTGCCAGGAGGGTGGTGACGTGAAGGAAGTTGTTGTGTCGTAGCAGATGTTCCACTGGGAATTTTAGAATAAGCAAGTGTTATGGCCGTCCTGGTTACTGTTCTTCCTAATCCGAATTTTAGAACCAGTTGATAGAAGTTTAATAGGGAGAAAATAATCTGGCAGAAATGGGACTAGGAGGAAATGTGAATCTGTAGAAATGTGCCTGAACCTTAGAGAAGTGTGATCCATCCAGTAGCTAATTACTTATAAGCCAGTGTCTTCTTGGATCTCTAAATTACTTGTCCCTAACAAGCACTGTCAAACAGATACATAGTCCAAAGGTGTTCAGTGAAGACAGGTAATCTTCAAAATTCAGTCTCATTCAAAAACCAGTGGACTGGCTGGGTGTGGTGGCTCACACCTGTAATCCCAGCACTTTGGGAGGCCGAGGTGGGCAGATCACAAGGTCAGGAGATGGAGACCATCCTGGCTAAGACGGTGAAACCCCGTCTCTACTGAAAATACAAAAAATTATCCAGGCGTGGTGGCGGGCGCCTGTAGTCCCAGCTACTTGGGAGACTGAGGCAGGAGAATGGCGTGAACCAGGGAAGTGGAGTTTGCAGTGAGCCGAGATCGCACCACCACACTCCAGCCTGGGCAACAGAGCAAAACTCCGTCTCAGAAAAAAACAAAACAAAACAAAACAAAAAATAGTGGACTGTACCTAAAAATACGTTTCCCTTTTAGACAGGAGTTTGCAGTCACAAGTGTTTCCAGTAACCAGTTGTTTGAGTCATGATGAGTCCTCACCTCCTCCATCCCATCCACTTCCCCATGCCTGTGTGCCCTTGGGAAGCCCAAGACATGCAGAGATGGCTTGATATGGTCAGATTCTCACCTTAGGTCTTTGTTAAGAATTTTGGAGTAAGGCAGCTCCAGTTCAAATCTCAACTGTCCTTCACTCACTGTCTTACAAAGGCACATTATTTTACCTTTCTGAGACTGTGTCCTGAGATTTAAATGAGACAATTTTTATGAGAGTCCAAGCACAGTGCTTGCTTCTCAGTAGGCAGTCAATGGCTACTGGTTTCCTTTCCCAAGAGTGCCACATTTCCTTTCCTTTATTTACCTACTTTGTCTTGCTACATTATTTCAGTGTCTGTTTATTATAGTGCATAAGAAATGTATACAAAATAGCTTTAAACACATTGTGTCTTACAGTACCCAAAATTATCACAAAGCCTCAATAAAGGAAAATGACATCTAAATTGTTCACATTCAGCAAGTCAGTTTGGTTGGTGGGTATTGTGGATATTTGAGTTAGCATAAATATAATAGATGAGACTCAGCAATTTTCATGTTGCAGTAACTCTTCACCTACTTCTTGGTCATGTTTTCATTTCTCAATCCCACCTGCATCCTAATAACACAGCTCTCATTACTTTGAGGTACCATTTCTGCTAGCACTGTAAGACAGCAGAGTTTCTGTAATAAATGACATCATCTGCCCTGAGGGAGATTATTGCCAGTGTGCTCACTCCCTCCCTCCTTCACTCTCTGATTCCTTCACTCACTCACTGAGTCCCTCCTTCCCTTTCTCACCTCCCTCCATCTCACGCACTGCCTCCCTCGCTCACTCCTTTCAGCCACTCCCTCACTCGCTACCTCAGTGTTCTCACTTTCTTATTCATCTTCTCCCTTCCTTCCTCCCTCATTTCCCTGATTACCTCCCCCATTCACTCCCTCATCCCTCACTCACTCTTTCTGTGTTAATACTTTGGGTTGCAGTTGACACAACCTCGTTTCAAATTAGAAAGACCTGTTGCAAGGGGCATCTCTCAGAATGGCTATGCCACTGAGTAGGCTTACTAGTAGTTGGGCTTCAGTAACAATTGGAACCAACAACTTGAATGCCACCATGTTTTTTTCTCTTTGTGCACGTCTTTTCTATTGTTCTTTTTTTGAAATAGGGTCTTGCTCTGTTGTCCAGACTGGGATGCAGTGGCATGATCATGACTCAGGTGATTCTCCTACTTCAGCCTTCTGAGTAGTGCCTGCAGGCTGGTCTCTTAACTTGTGGGCTCAAGTGATCTTCCTGTTTGGCCTCCCAAAATGTTGGGTTTACAGGTGTGAGCCACTGTGCCTGGCTCTCTGTGCACTGCTCATTCACTCATATCACTTTCTCTGCAGACCAGTCTCCATCTTTTTGGTCTATGTGGCAAAGTGGTCCTACTCCAATAATTTGGGAGAGATACAGTGATGTAGCTTGGATCAGATGCTCATCTTGGGTCAGTCAGCTATGGCCAGGAGGGTTTGATCATGTAAAGACATGGTTGCTCCTTCAAGAATTACATGGCTGGACTTAGGAGAGGAGCATGGAAGGGTTATGCTGAACACAGAGTTCCGGAGACATCCACATACCCATCCTGTCATCCTAGACAGTTGGCTCTTGGCTGGGAATACAAAAAAACCCTCTAAACTGCAGCCAAGTAGTGGGAGACAGAAGTACAACCAAATAAGTGTGATAGAGTGATATTGGTTCTATAGTAATGGAGGTACATGTTAGATAGGAATAAAGAACAGGCAGTCAGGTTAAGTCAGACACAACTAGCATCTGTGAGTAATAATGGCCAACAGGCCTTCTACAGATACGTGAGCCGGTCAAATTGCTAGGTATTCCGAGTCTAGAGATAGCCTTGGCATTTTCTAAGCACAAATACTGTGTTCTTTTTTTTTATTAGGAGGCCTCTTTATCAGAGTGCCTTTTAAAATTATTTGTTGAGTTTTATTTACAAAGGAAGAATGAAGGACACCTTGACATTTTTTTATTTTCAACAACTTACCATGTTTTAGAGAATTCGGATGATCTAAATTTTAGTTCCTTTGGTAGCTCTCTAAACTGTATTTAAAAGACCTCAAATAAAACCAACCACCAATTTATTTTATAGCTCATATGATCTGGCCCTATACTGCTTTTGTTAATCACAGATTCTTGGGTTGTAAGTTGAAGACATTCTCTTGTTCTTTGTTAAGGGACTTAGGAGCCTTTGCCTTAGTCTCCATTGTTGCTATAGTTGGTGGCCTGCAACCTAGCCAGATGTGGGCTCATGTTTAGTTAGCTTCCTTTAGTGTGGCCTTTTTCAGGCAGTGCATACCAGTCCTTCTTCCATCTCCTAGTACATTGGGTGGACTTTCCATGTCTTCTTCCACAAATCCCCATCCTTTAAGTATGGGGTGCCTCAGGCTGAGCACAGCTTGCTCCAGTCTCATTATTCTTGGCCTTGCCCTTCACATCCATACTTCACCAGAGATTTTCAACATCTTTCATGTCTTCTCTCTACCCTATGTTGCTTGCCCTAACATTTTCAAAAATTAGACTTTTTATTTTCAGATACTTGTAGTTTTGCACAGTTATGCAAATTAATACAGAAATATTTCCTGTACCCTTTATCTAGTGTCTCCCAGTGGTAACATCATCTTATGGAACTGTTGCATAATATTACAAGCAGGATATTGACATTGATACAGTCAAGATATAGAACCATTACCCTAATGTTTGGCATATAGGTTCCTTCTCATTTTTTTTTCTTACTCATCTTTTATACTCTTCTTTCCTTGCTCTTCTTACTTATATATTCATTGACCCAGGGATTAGTTAACTCAAGGGTCCTACAGGTTTTACCTTCTCTTTGATAGGTTGGCTAAACCCTCATGTTGTTAGAGTTTCTAGTGTTAGGAACTATTCTATTCATCTTGAAATGATTTGCCTGGAATAAATGTCATTTGGATGGCTCAGGTTGGCCTTAAAATTCATGTGAAGACCTGGCCTTCTGTGAGATCTGCTTGCCTTAATTTCAGACAGGTCACATGAAGATGAAGTGTGTGTGGGGGCTGGTATGGTACTAATCCTTTGAGACTCAAGAGCTCTAATCAAAAGTGATTTTCCCCTAAAAGGACAGTTCTGCACAGAGGATGTGGATGAATGCCTGCTGCAGCCCAATGCCTGTCAGAATGGGGGCACCTGTGCCAACCGTAATGGAGGCTATGGCTGTGTGTGTGTCAACGGCTGGAGTGGAGATGACTGCAGTGAGAACATTGATGATTGTGCCTTCGCCTCCTGTACTCCAGGCTCCACCTGCATCGACCGTGTGGCCTCCTTCTCTTGCATGTGCCCAGAGGGGAAGGCAGGTAGGTTAGCAGAAGGATGGAGCTAGAAACGGGGAAGGGGTAGGGGGCATTCAGGACTCTGCCTTCTCTTTCATCCCAAATAGCTGTATTCTTTGAGTTAACCATCCGTGGAAACATATAACTCAGGACTGTTCCAGAAATGTAACCTGCTAACCAAAGTGCTGTGAAGATAGTCTTCCTCCCTAGGACTTTAGGCTCTCTTCTCAACTCTGCATACTTTAGTTTTTTCATTCCAAAAAAGGAAAGTTAGTAACTATTGTCTTTGGAGCATCTGCTGAAGTCCTTAAGATCTTAGACTGAAAAGCACATCAGCTATTAAGATAAAATGGCTAATAAATGGATCCACAGGCTTCATTTTAAGAAGAAACCGTCTGTTTACTCAGAAGAAGTTGGCAGGAGAGAAACATTTAAGTGCCTTCTAACCCTCAATGTCTATGAAAATATTCGCCTCAGGGAAGATTTTTACATGCTACCAGGTTAACATTCCTCTCACCTCTCAATTTAACAGCTACTAGTTCTAGGAGAAGGAGAGCAATGTAAGGAGGAAGGTGATGGGAGAAGATAATTTAGCTGGGAGAACTTTGTGCCCAGCAGTTTTGAAACGTTCTTTCATGGATGCCTTTCCAAAAGCCCTAGCTCCAGCTTTGTGGAAGAAGCCTTAGTTACCTGTTCTTAAGTTAATTGCAGACTGGAAAATCCAGTTCCCATGTGAACTATATAAAACAGGAAGCCTAGTAATATCTTCAGAGACCTGGGGCCACCTGAATCAGGAATGTTGATGCTATTAAAAGGCTACTCTGGTAGAGGCTGATGGTGTTCAGGTGGCCCCATGATCATTAGGTAGCATAATATTGGGGAAGTAGGATTCCAGATAAAATATAGAATGTATGGAATATTTGAGACATACTAAATGTTACTTCTTGTTTATCTAAAATTCAACTGGACATCCTCTATTTTATTTGCTAAATCTGGCACACTATCTGGATGGTCGCTCCATTTTCCTATCTCTGTCTTCTTTTTTTTTTTGAGACGGAGTCTCGCTCAGTCGCCCAGATTGGAGTGCAGTGACGCGATCTCGGCTCACTGCAAGCTCCGCCTCCCGGGTTCATGCCATTCTCCTGCCTCAGCCTCCCAAGTAGCTGGGACTACAGGCGCCCGCCGCCATGCCCGGCTAATTTTTTGCATTTTTAGTAGAGACGGGGTTTCACCGTGTTAGCCAGGATGGTCTCGATCTCTTGACCTTGTGATCCGCCCGCCTCGGCCTCCCAAAGTGCTGGGATTACAGGCGTGAGCCACCACGCCCGGCCCCTATCTCCGTCTTCTTATTTTCTGGCCTGTAGATGTCTCTGCACTGAAGGAGAGGTCTAGCTGAGGGCTCAGGATCAGAGTCTAGGGTTGCAGCTAGGTACTTTGCTGGTAGCCAAGCATGTCCCCAGGGTAGGGTCAGGCAAAGCGGAAGTTGCCTATAAATCTCCACGTTGGATTTTGAGGAACTGATCATGAGGTTTTCCCTCCTGGGTGAAAGAGAAAGCTCTTCCCCAAGTGAGGGACATTTTCTCTTAGTTCTCCTTCGCCCCACCCTGTGACAGGTCTCCTGTGTCATCTGGATGATGCATGCATCAGCAATCCTTGCCACAAGGGGGCACTGTGTGACACCAACCCCCTAAATGGGCAGTATATTTGCACCTGCCCACAAGGCTACAAAGGGGCTGACTGCACAGAAGATGTGGATGAGTGTGCCATGGGTGAGTACCCAGAACTTTTTCTATCCTGTGAAGTGTTTGTTGAGCTCAGCAAATGTTTAAACTGAAGCACATTTTGCTGTAGGAGCATGTTACACCCAAACCTCAGATTCCTCTTGCTATGTGGCCGGTGTTTACAGGTGACCTTTCAGCATAACCATAACCATATATTCCATGCTGGGGATTAAATGTATGAAAGGTATGTACTTGATTCTTAATATAAGGCCATACCTCAATGACAGTTTGGGCAGAAACTGCAATAGCAGAAATGCGTAACAGTTGAGGATACTCTGCTTTTATTTCTTTTTAAATTAAGGAAAAAAGAATATTGGGAATGATATTATTAAAGGCCTGGCCCTGATGCAATAACCATCAGCTCTTCTTCTGTTGTTCACATTTGTGGAAACTCAAGTCCTTTGATCCCAGTAATTGGTACTTGTGTCTTTCAGCCAATAGCAATCCTTGTGAGCATGCAGGAAAATGTGTGAACACAGATGGTGCCTTCCACTGTGAGTGTCTGAAAGGTTATGCAGGACCTCGTTGTGAGATGGACATCAATGAGTGCCATTCAGATCCCTGCCAGAATGATGCTACCTGTCTGGATAAGATTGGAGGCTTCACATGTCTGTGCATGCCAGGTAAATGGGCCCATCAGCATGTGGGGTCTAGAGAGGAGGGACCGTTCTGAACTTCTCTTGGTAGAGCATTCAGTATACTATTGCAATCTGATGAGCTCTGTCAGCATTTGATTTCCTTTGCTGACTGGGGACTAGAGGAAGTCAGGGTTCACAAGCAAACCTTCCTTCCTCAAAGAGTAAGGCAGTGCTAGAATTCATCAAGCTATGTAGACCAAGTTAAACAAGCCTGTTATATCAAAATCCACATGTAATAGAAAATTTCAAAAATGATTTACTATAAGAATCCTTTAAATAGCAAGTTTTCCTGATACCTTCATGTAATTATAAATACTATACCATTCTATTTATAGAAATAAATTTTATCCACAATTATATAGGAAGTTTCCATTTATCTAAAGTGCAGTACATGTTTAGTTGTATTCTGGAGCTCTTCTGCAGAGACCATGTCTTTAATTTTCAGAGGATACAGCCAAATCCAGCTTGAAATGATGGCTAACATTGGCTGCTCTGCCTGATGAAGGCTGCCAGCTACTTCAGCCTTAAAAGGCACTCCTGACCTTGAACTGCACCCTGAAGGCAACACCAGCTCCAGCTTGGCTTGTCTTTGGGAACATAGAGTGGGGACATTTTGGGCCTTCCACAGTCCAGGAAGTATGGATTTATCACAGAAAATGCGGAGCAGTCCTTGTTTATATGCTAGGTCTTGCCAATGTCTTTTACAGTAATCCCTTCCCGCTTTTCACAGTAACATGGGTATCTCACAGTATGCCCTGTCCTGCTTGATCCTTGGAGTGACTATTTCTCATCATGGCAGAGTTCCTTTTCTCTCTGCAGGAGTGTGTGGACTCGCAGAAAATGTAGTTATCGTTGCAAATTTGTGCTTCTTTGTCTGGAATACACCTTTCTGTCTCTTTAAGCCACTTGTGTGGTCTGTTTTGTTTAGGTTTCAAAGGTGTGCATTGTGAATTAGAAATAAATGAATGTCAGAGTAACCCTTGTGTGAACAATGGGCAGTGTGTGGATAAAGTCAATCGTTTCCAGTGCCTGTGTCCTCCTGGTAAGTGCCCACCACCTGGCCCTGTTTTCTCTTAAAGCACAAAGCCAACTGACCACAGGGAAGAGAGCAGGGAGAGAACGTGTGTGGGCTGTGCATGAGGAAATCATTAGAGTAAGTGCTTGGTGATAGGAGTGTGTGTGTACAGAAATAGAGAATTTGTTTTAGCTACTATATCTTACAAATCCTTTGTGGCCAGAAGTCCAAGTCTGTTCTTGAATGGCCCATGACCTTTTCGTCTGTGTGTGTATTTCAGAATGTTCATACCTCACAGAAGCCTTAGTTGTAGGCTATACGGGATTTTGTTTTTTTCCCATGGGTCGTATTCTTGAAGGCCCTCTGTGAGACTGTTATTTTTAGACATTTCACCCATGAGTTCAGGAACAGAAAACACATGCCAATTTTTCCAGGATTCTGTGTCTCTCCTTTTTTTTCTCAAGCTATTTTTGAAGATATGCCAAATTGTCCTCTATAGACTGCATCTTACCCCATTGTATCTTCAGAGAGAAGGTTTCCGTTGCCTCTGAAGCTACAGTTACTCGTTTGACGTTTCCACCTATAAATTTCACTTCCTACATCCTTCCTTTATAAGTGAAGTCTGTCTGTGAAGAAGCAATGGTGGAGACACACCACAACTGCCTCTGATTCCCTGAGTGTCACCTGGTTATTCCAATTACCTGTTGGGGAGAATAATAAAGCATAGGCTTATTGACCCATTGGTATAAGCCCTGCCAGTAACCTAACCCACCCCTCCCTGGACATCATTCTCATAATAAAGGAAGATGCAAGATAATCCTTCAACTCATGTTACCACTGTCCCTTTTTGAGGTTTTACTGGGCCAGTTTGCCAGATTGATATTGATGATTGTTCCAGTACTCCGTGTCTGAATGGGGCAAAGTGTATCGATCACCCGAATGGCTATGAATGCCAGTGTGCCACAGGTAAGATTCTTCTCATTCTTCGTCTCCTTGGTAGGTCTATCTGAACAAAATAGGGTGTTTGTCCCTGTCCTCTGCTAGCTGCTCTACCAGGTCAGTCCACTCCCGGGGGCTCCTCTGTGTTTAGGAAGAGCTGCTTCTAGCAAATTTTTTGCTGCTCTCTTTTTCTACAGCACCTGCCTCCTCCACCACAACAGTGGTCTGGCCCAGATATTTCCATTTGGTATCCATGTCTTTCTGGGACAGACTTTGGCAGCAATAAGTTTCCAGCTGGCTAGATTTACTCATTTAGGACAGAGAAGAATTCCAGTTGAAAGCTATTTTTCATTGGGGCTTCTCAACAGGAGGCCTGGTTCTGTGTTTCTTGAAGCAAGTGACTGAGAGAAGGCCCAGAAATTTAAAGGCTGAATGTATACAATTGCAGGGGTATTCTGCATAAAAGACACCAAATAGGATTGAGAGTCAAGTGTGTAAATGACAGGAGAGAGAGCTTTAACTGGGAAAGTTTGGGTCCTCTTTGCTGACTTCTGCAACTAGAGTCAAAAACGATCTGTGCACAAATATTCTGCATTTCTGGGTTTGTAATCACATTTTGTACTTGGGATTGGATTTCAGTAAGCCAGATGTTCCCTATTACACATTTCCTTTTACACAGGCCAATATTATACAGAAAGGTTAGAAATTATTAGAAGTGAACTTCTTTATTGTCTGACTGCTTGAGAAAGAAGTTATTTATATAATTGAAGACATTATCTAATTTTAGAGAATGGAGTCTTAAAGATTACAGGCATCATGCATATAATTTATTTCTGATCACAGAAAAGCAAATTTAATTGTGAAAATTAGTACAAAAAGTTAATATTTCAAGTATTAGACCTACTTAGGTTAGGACAACTCAGATGAGCCACTTTCTTTCTTTTTACAAATAGTTGCCCTTTGTTGGAGAATCCAAATTTGTCTTTCCCTGGCCAGATTCTTCTTGTAGAGGATAAGTTTCAAAGAGATTAAAAACCTTTAGTTCAGGTTTAAAAGTGGGGAGAGGTCTCCTGGAGTCTTCTAGGGAAAGATATAATGTTTGTCTATTTAAGCCTCAAAGAAAGGAACTCTTGTCTCTTTTTCTTTTAAATGCTCGTAACAGGTTCATTCATTTTATTCAACCAGTATTTATTTAAAACTACTATATATGCATAATACCGTCAGAGGAGCTGAGAGGAGTAAAATAAAGCTCTCTTACCTCCAAAGTCAGAACTGGGAACATAAGATACATGAAATCATTAACCTGTAAATTGGGCTGGGAAGAAAGAAATACAAAGATAAATATATAAAGGAAAAATGTTTTGAGCTGTTATACCTGAAGCCTAATAAAAAATGAAGATGCAGTTAAAGCATCTCTGCAGTGAAACTATTGATCAGTTGCAAACGTATTTCAGTTCTAAAATTTGATTTGAAAATCTTTATTTTAAGCACCTCTCTCCAGGCATGCTTTCTAAATCAATGCAGATAGTCATTTTCTACTGCTCAAGGCCTGCAGTATTAATTGACCACACATGGAATGTGTAGAGTAAATGGATGTAGCTACACTTGTGTTCTGTAGATACGACACTTGTGGAGTATCTGCCTTGGTTTTTGAGAATCCTTGATAAAATTATTTCCAAAGGTTTCACTGGTGTGTTGTGTGAGGAGAACATTGACAACTGTGACCCCGATCCTTGCCACCATGGTCAGTGTCAGGATGGTATTGATTCCTACACCTGCATCTGCAATCCTGGGTACATGGGCGCCATCTGCAGTGACCAGATTGATGAATGTTATAGCAGCCCTTGCCTGAACGATGGTCGCTGCATCGACCTGGTCAATGGCTACCAGTGCAACTGCCAGCCGGGCACATCAGGTAAGCCCACTCCGTTTATGTTTGGTATGGGGTTTTCACTGTTTCTCAGATCGATTTACACAGATGTTTCAGATGGTTGGCATATGCTCAGATACCTAAAAAACAGTCCTAATTCTGAGAAGCACAGCCAAAGCTACAAACATAAATGTCTCAAGGCAGATGGCCCTAGCCAGTGGAGAAGTCAGAGACAATAGCTCTGCCAATCTGATGATTTTGTGTGTGTGTTTTGTTAAATAGAGGCACACCACTTCAAAAATTAAAATTAATGATTTAAAATTGAAAACCCTCTTTTTTGTGGCTATATTATCTTTTTTTCTTTAAGTTCCATCCCACCCAGATTAATACATTCAGTCCTTCTTGCCTGCCTGCCTGCCTGCCTGTCTGTCTTCCTTCCTTCCTTCCTTCCTTCCTTCCTTCCTTCCTTCCTTCCTCCCTCCCTCCCTCCGTCCCTTCCTCCCTCCCTCCGTCCCTTCCTCCCTCCCTCTCGCCCTGCCTCCCTTCCTCCCGCCCTGCCTCCCTTCCTTCAATGTATTTTCTCTCTCACAGTTCAGTCTTTTTAGTGTGTCATGTTTCTTTAGTCACTTGTCTCTGGTGGGGCCTTAGCCATCTTGGGGGATTCTAAGGAAGAGGAGATACCTTGCAACACACCACAGTAACTAAAGTAGAACGCAGAGCTGTCATTTCCTGTCCTCAGAGTTCATCATTGTTCTCTGACCTTGGTCGTGAGGACATGCTGCTCCTTGTTGGGGGCATGTGGTATTATTTTCTCAGGGAGCAGCATCTCACAGGTTTGAATGGTTCTGTTTTACTTATTAGATGAATGATCATGGTCATAACTATGGTTAATGGACAGAGAAGTTTATGTTCCAGATCAAAGGAAAATGTATTAGTGGAAGATTAACCAATGTGTGCCTTTGTTAGAAGGAAACCTGCCAATATAAAGGAGTGATTTATTGAGAACTCATTCTGGATGTAAGGAAAATGACCTATGTAGAGAGCAGAGGTGGAGAAGGCAGTTAGCTGCCCTCATTTTCTTTTATTGTTTCCAAATCCATTTCTTCAAACTTGTCAAAGGCTCTGGTCTTTATCCAAGACTTCATACATGCCAAGTTTGAAAACAAAGTCCTTTTTGAATTGCTCAAGCATACGAAAAACATCCCATGCCGTCACAGCTGAAAATGCCTTTCCCTCCCCCATTTAGATAACTCACTAAAAGGGCTGAATAGATCTTTGTGAAAACTTCCAAAAGCAATTTGCTTCCGGGCTGTTCCTCAGACATGAGAAATTACAGTAGGAAAAGAAATTTGAGAGATTTACAAGCAATTGACTGGATGCCTTTAGAATGGAGGGGCTGTTTTAGACTTTGCTATCATTCCCATCATAATAAACATACTGGAAACCTGGGTGAGTGGTGGGTTGGCAAGTACTTTGTTTTCTCTGGGATTATATCATTATATCAGGATATATCAGGTGTTTTCTGGGGAGGACAGAGAGGGTATGGTGTAAGTAGCTGTCACTGAGAAGGTGAGAAGTCAATATGAGTGATCTGTAGGCAGCATGGAAAGGAAGGCCCAGAATCTATCAGAACCTGCCAAAGACATTCCTGCAGTTATTTGGAGAATTAAAGCAAGCAACAGTCAGACAACATTAAAAAAATGTTGGTCTGTAATGGGTGGAGAAAGAGCTGGCATGTATCAGGGACCTGGGTGGAAAATCCATTAAACGAGGCATTATGAATACAGTCTCAAGTTCTAGAGTAAGAATTCCTGTTCCACTTATATGGCCTAAGTTGGTAGTTTGGTGTTCGGATAGGGGAGTGGGTGGAAGAAATATTTTACAATTTGCCATCTAAAATTGTGGTAGTCAGTCACTGGGTACTTAAAGTGAGATATACTACCCAGAGTTACTTTCAGTGCCTTCTCTCATCTGTGCTTTTATGATAGTAAAGTTTTAAGTAAGTTTCTTTGTATTTCAAGTAATAGACCAACTTGAGCTAGCTTAAGTCATCATTTACAAAAAATAAACAACAACAAAACAAAGAAACAGAGCTTAGCTAAAGCACCCAGAGCCTCTTATAGATTCCAAGCAATTGAATAATAAGGCTTTGGAGAAAATAACAGGAAACTGGGCATTTGTAGACCAGAGGTCACACAGTCTGTGTTTCAGTGTTGTAATGAGAGAATCTCATTGGCCTGGCTTGATCCAGGCGTCTTTTCCTACTCAAGTACACAATGGACAGGGGGCTAGAGTCACATTGGATCATCAGGGCTTCATTGGGAGGGGGTGCTGCTGTCTTGGTTTGAGGGTAAAGGGGGTTGTCAGTCAAAGGTTAGAAACATCTCCTAAAAGTATCCACTTCTCTGCGGGGAATATGGAAATGTTTCCCTCATTTATGGCTAGTTAGGCAGCATAGCCTCATTAATCACGGGATGACAGTACAGTGTGGCAGAAAGAAGATGCTGTGGAGCCACACAAACAGGGTACAGAGCCCAGCTTTCCTGCCCTAATGGTGGCACTGTGCATGTCAGCCCTGTTGTCTATAAAATGGGTGTAACACAGACTAATATGCAGATTGGGTGACAGGGTTAGAGAAAACTTACGTGACAGGCAAAGCAGCATACTTTGCACATAGTAAGAGCTCAATAAACTGTTCCTCTGTAATTATTATTAATAAACATTATTGCAGAGTATGGGCACAGTGGCTCATACCTGTATGAGGTATACATACAGGTGTATACCTCACCTTTTGGGAGGCTGAGGTGGGACGATTGCTTGAGTCTGGGAGTTTGAGACCAGCCTGGGCAACATAGCAAAACCTCATCTCTTAAAAAAAAAAAAGCCAGGTAAAGTGGTACACACACCTGTAATCAGGAAGCTGAGGTGGGGGGATTGCTTGAGCCAGGGATATTGAGGTTGCAGGGAGCTGTGCTCTTGTCATTGCACTCCAGGCTGGGTGACAGATCAAGACCCTGTCTCTGAAAAAAAAAAAAGAAAGAAAAACAAAGTATGAGTGAATCACAAGTATGGCATTTTTATCCTGGGTGTTTTGTTTTATTCTCATTACCAGTTTTTATTTTTAGTCCTTTTAAACTACCAAAATATTATTGTATGATACTCAGAAAGCATCACTTAATTCATACAAAAATAAAAAATATTCTTACCATTATTTGTAAAAAGATATTTGTGAAATATATTACAAATATATTACAAAATATATTACAAATATATTTCACAAATATCTCTTTACAAATAATGGTAGCAATAATGATTGTATACTGTTAATATAACCAAACTCTTCCATTCATCTGGGCAGCAGAGCAAAAATAAGGCAGCTTACCTCAGGAGGAAGTTACTAGACTCAAGATTTATCCTGAAATTTAGCCTGTAATACTGACAGGCAGTGTCAAGCTCACTGTGATAGATAAAAATTCGAAAATTCTAATTTTGATTCAAAAGCTTAAGTTTTATCTTTGGCAAAAATACTGTTAATTTGCTTTTCCTCAAAATGATAGGCTTGCTGCTTTCACTTAATATTTGCTAAATACTCAATTGTGATTCACCCTGGTTTGTCTTGTCAGCTGCTCTTTCAATTAAAATGTGGTTTCATGAAGAAAGCGGCTATTTCAACGCACAGCTCAAACAATAGCAGTATAGCTCTTCCTGGAGACAACTTTCATACTTGGCATGCCACAGAAATGCTTTATGTATACTTCTATTTCATCACATGGAGTAGTAGACATTACTCAAGGTTCGAGATTTATTGAAATTATAAAGTTACTAATTTTAACTTCCTCAACAAAGCCACTCTTGAGTGAAACTGGCGTTTTTGCTTGTTTAACTGTGGCACATGGAGGTGAGCAGTAGAATAATTATAGTACAGTTTGGTTCTACTGCCTTGATTCATGCTGATGCGATCAGTTTCAACCCATTGCCTCTGCACCATCAGTTTGAATGTTGGCACGGTGAAAAGGAAAGATGATGGCTAAGTATGATTAATAAAATCCTTTGGACCTCTATATCTTCCTGAAAGAGTAGACTACATTTTGAGAACTGCTGCTTTATTCTGTCCAGGGTTGGCTGGAATTCACCTTAGATTTCTTACCACGTTGCTGCATCACAAGCAGAATGCCTTAGTATTTCTGTGGTAATATTGAATGGTTTCCCTTTGGTTTTCTCTTCCAGGGGTTAATTGTGAAATTAATTTTGATGACTGTGCAAGTAACCCTTGTATCCATGGAATCTGTATGGATGGCATTAATCGCTACAGTTGTGTCTGCTCACCAGGATTCACAGGTAAAGCTCCTTTTACTGCAAGGCCCCTCCTTCAGCCCTATCACTTTGGGAATATAGCATCCAAAGGAATATTGCTTTTCAAGTGTTTCCTATTTCTTTGTCTCTCTGGAAGGTTAGTAGTCTGTTTCTCTGCTTTTCTAGATCAAGTTTTCTGTTCACAGACTTTTTCTAAACTGAAACATACTTTTCATTAATTAGAGTTTTTAGATTATATGTTTATTGCTACCAGAAAATAATTTCTAGACAGACCATTAATTGCCTTTGCTTTGCTTGAGTTATATTGCTTCCAAAGCTATGTTTATTGACTACAGGTAGTAGTCAAGGCCTTCCATAAAGACATATTCAAGGTAAAATCTTATGAAAACACTGAATGCTTGTTTCTGGGTACTTCCTCTTTGACATATTCAAGGTAGAATTCTATGAAAATACTGAATGCTTATTTCTGGGTACTTCCTTCTCTGAAATATTGTTAGATGAGGTCAGAGCTTGGGGAGACCTCCCTAATTTGGGTAGCATGAGAGAGATATTTCTGCCCAGGAGAAAGAAAGTAAATAGCTAGAAGAATTTTGAATGTAACTCCTCTTGAAGTATAAACAGCCTAAGCATTTACACATACACACATGTGCGTGTACGTGCGCGCACACACACACACACACACACACATCTTCTCTCTATTTGTTAATATTAACTTTGTCTTTTACCCTCCTGATCAAAAAGTGCTAGAGGCTACTACTGCAGAAACCTGAGGCCCCTCACTGACACACCTGAGTTTCTTATTGGCATCATCAGAAGGCACACACTGTACATTCTGTTCTTTCTGGACAGTGACACACAGAAGCAGCCACTAACATGTTACCATTTAATAATTTCCATGTGGTTGTTTGTACCCGAATGTAAAAGACCCTTCAAAGTTTTTGATACAGTCTGCAAAAAGCCAGAGCAAAGCGAAGTGAATGTCCACCATTCATTTGCCAGGAGTGGACTTTGTTCTCTATTTCACAAGAATTTCTCCTATTTGGTATGATTGTGGACATTAGAGAGGAAAGTTTGCAGCCCAAATGGGTCACAGCAATCCCTGTTCAGTGAAAGATCACTGAGAAGCCAAATCTGATGAAAACTGTCATGCCCAATGCCCAGTGCTGCTGTAGTAGCCTGATGTTCTGCATCCTGAAACTTGTGACTCCAAGATCAAATGGCAGTCAAGTGAATACACAGAAATCCCTGCTAGATAGGATAATAGGCACATTGTTGATAAGTGGGTAATACAAAGAGAATAGGTAACATTTATGAAGAACTAATTTTGAACTAGGCACTATGTGCCTAGTCTCAATTGTCACTGCTGTTGAGAATACCTACAGAATTTATAAGAAACTGAGAACACAGAGAAGTTAAGTAATGTTACCAGTGCACAGCAGCCAGAATTACATCCCAGGCAATCTGACCCCAGAGCCCATGCTCATTCCCACAACACTGGACATCCTGATTAGGGGCCTGTTGTAGTGTGTGTGTGTGTGTGTGTGTGTGTGTGTGTGTGTGTGTTTATGTAAGGCTTCTACTGGACTCATTTTTTCAAAATGCCAATGAATCATGTTCTTTCTCTTATTAACATTCAGCAAACCAGAAAGGTCAAGAAGGGAGAACATAGGCTAAAAATATTCTAAAATAAACCTAAGGTGTAGCATGAAACCTTATAAGCAAGAAATGGAATGTTTTGGTTACTAGGTGGTCCCCTGTTCATGGAACTGTTGTCTGTGTCTGAGATGGTTTTTTTAATGAGCTGCTGAAAACGTCAGAGACGACTGTGGTATATACTCATGAGTGGTAAATGTAAGGAGTTTTATTCTTGCTCTTGTTTTAATATATTTTTCCCATGTCATTCTAACAATAGCTTTGACAGCTTTAAAGGATATTGTTTTTTTTGTTTTGTTTTAATACTAAGTTATCTGTTCTCTTAGAACCTTTTTAAATGGGGGAAGGTAAGGAATTATGTGATACTTCTATAAACTGCTTTTCAGTTTTACAATTCACCTTCATACCCATTATCTTCCTGAATTCTCATAACAATCCAGAAAGGAAGTTCTACTATCCCCATTTAACAAGTAAGGCAACTGAGAGACAGACCTTGATGTATATACTCATGGCCTGCCAGTGAGTTGCATAGTGAGGACTGTGAGTTCCCAGAAGGTGGAGACCTCGTTTAATCATCTTTATAGCAAGTGTCTAAAGCAATGTCTAGCACACAGGAAACACTCAGTGAATGTTGCGGAATGAATGAATGAATGGGACTCAAATACAGCACTTTTGCTAGCTAATCCAGACTCTAAAGTGTGGACTATACCATGTTTTCATTTATTAAGCACCATTTTACTGAGTACCTGAGTCAGAAGAAACATTGGGTAACTTCTCATTTTAGTTAGCCCAACAAATTGCTTGGCCTTCCACTGGACTTTTCTGATGCTCAGTGGAAACTCCTTGAGGGTAGGACCTTGCTGATGGAACAGCTGTCAATCAACATAGTAGAATGCATTTAACACTTTCAGGTAAAGATGGCTTGAAAATTTATTCTGCAAAGAGTTTAAAAGCAAACAAAGAAAACTTGGGAGGAGTGGCTTCTGAGGAGATGCTTCCAAGAAAAGGCCAAAAATGAGAAAGGCTTTTTACTGTCATCCTCCACTATATTACAGGCCAAGGCTAACTGTGTGGTTGAAGAGCTCTGGTTCATATTTTGGTGCCACTGACAAACATCTCAAAGAACCAGTGGTTGAGGCCAAGGAAATAGTATTTAAAAATAAGCTATTAATAAAACACTTAAGAAGAAAACAGCAGCCACTTCCAGATTATGGGTTTTTACCACAAGAACCACCAATAATGGTTTAGAGAGCAATGGAGGGTGAAAAAATGAATACTCATACTTCATAGGAGTGGGTATCTATTTCATTTGGAATGTCCTGTTCTAAATACAGGATTGCTCTTTCTTAAATGAGAAAAATGCATGTTTTCAAAATCTGAATCAGAACATTGTATTCTTTGAAATTTATAAATTCATAGCAGTTGCTTGATCCCACTCATTTATAGAATTATAGGTAATTTTAACATTTCATATCATTTTGGAATATATAGTTAAATCTCAGTTACTCAAAATGTAGCAAATGGAAACACTTGTATAACTGCCCGTGTTGCTTTATTCAGCCTAAGAAATATCAAGGTTATAACAGATGTCTTTTTAAAGAGCAATCTTGGCTATGTCTTAGAGGAACAACATATTCACTTCAATTTCACTTACTCCCAGTATCTGCATTGTATGATGATAAGTAATAATTGTCTAGAACAGAATTTCTCCAAATCTAGTTTTTACGCCACCTACATTTTTAAAAATATGGTTTGCTAGATTCTGTTCATCACAAGCTATGGCGATAGGGCCTAGGCATCTCCACTTAAAATAACAACTTAAAGTGATGATTTTACACATTAAAGTTTAAGAACCATAGGTCTAAAGTGACGGAATCTGCATTATTTTCTCCAATATCAGAGGACAACAAAATTATACCTTGAGACTCTACTTCCTGAGGTTAAAAAAATGGATTAATACGACTCTAAGAATGAAAACAAAATAGCTTTTCTTTACAGTCAGTTTAATTATTGAATTAAATTACTATCCCATTCATTAAGCATTCCAGTTAATTTGGATTTACCATAAATAGAAATGTAAGAGGCTAACTGAGAAAATGAATTTGTGGTAAACCAGCACAAAGCATGTTAATGAATGCTTCTTTGAGTTGTACTCAGGACAGCATTAAAAAGAGAAGCCTTATTTGCTGACATTTGACGTTCTCTTCTTAGAACCTGGTAAAGTTTCCCCATTTCTGAGTTGAAAGAAAATACCAAATTGCTATAACACTTTTCCAACCTTTTGTTAACTTTCCTTGATTATCAAAAGTCAATGCTCTTTGCTCCTTCTTTGCATGGCATTAAGCGTTATTGGGTATCTAATTCCTTACATCTTGTCATTTGGTGCCCCAACACACCTTATGGCCTGAGCAGATGAAGGGTGAAAACATAATGTGTCTTATAGTTCTGGGTCTATTTCCTGAGCATTTAGGATGTAAATAACACTGTCCCCCTTCTCCACAGGGCAGAGATGTAACATTGACATCGATGAGTGTGCCTCCAATCCCTGTCGCAAGGGTGCAACATGTATCAATGGTGTGAATGGTTTCCGCTGTATATGCCCTGAGGGGCCCCATCACCCCAGCTGCTACTCACAGGTGAACGAATGCCTGAGTAATCCCTGCATCCATGGAAACTGTACTGGAGGTCTCAGTGGGTGAGTAGCTGCCCCATGTAATAGCTTCTTATTGACCTGTGTTAAGCCAATTGGATTGTAGTACTGGTGACAGCCTGAAGTCGTCAAATGGGACCTTGAGCTGAAACTTTGCTGAAGATTTGGTAGTCTGCATCAAAGCCTTCTGAATTACCACTTAATCCATGGAAGCTGGCCCTTCCCTTCCATAAGTGAGGACCTAGATGGAACATAAGGAGGAATGTCTCCCTTATATGGGTCATTAGCAAGGACCTCATGGGAGGAACCCAGACTCATTGTGTGAATCTTTGGCAATTATGTTTTTAGTGTGTATTATTGGAATGATTTCTGAAGAATGTTCTAGCCTTTGTTTTTTTTTCCTCTGCTTAAACATAGCTCAGCTCTGTTCTGTCACAGTGCCAGTGTGTGCTCTGAAGTAGGGCCACTTCAGCCAACTTTAGAAATGTCCCTGATAAAACATTTGCAATTTTTAAGTCCCACAGACTTGTGTGATGTGTTAGTGATTTTCTAGAACCATAGAGTGACATTAGGTCTCATGAGACACTCTTATACTCTTGCTGTGTTTGCCATAGGATATGGCTTTGGACATTTTCCTTTGCAAACTTTGAAAGATGAAAGAATAAAGTGTTTAGAGGTAAATAGTAAATAGTTATTTTAAAATGAATTAACTCAGTATTGCTGTTTCAGAGTATAGCAGCCTTCAAGGCACCCTTATCCATCTCTCATTTTCTTAAAATTCTCCAGATAAGAAAGCTATCATTTCCTGATATCACATTCTAAGTGTTGGTGATATTCAAATTGGAGATTATATTTACATTTCAAATACCTTCATTCTTGTGCCTTTTCTTGCAGAATACCCTAGGTGCTTTCTGAAGCCAAGTTTCAGGTCAGAACAAAGCATGACTAAGATATGAAATATCCCAGGAGCATCTTAGAGTGGCTCAGGGTCCCTGATAGTGACCTAGGTATCTATTTTGCACCAAAAACTAATGATCTTAATGTTTGCTTTACTTTAGTTTTATGTATAATAAAATACATTGTGCAGATTTATCCATGATATTGTTTCCTTCAGAGTGGCCCAATATATTGTACGAACCATTGTTTACATAAGAAATTTCATTATAATTTCACTAACTTGGTGAGCTAGGAAAGCACCAAGAAGGTTTCTTTACCGGATACACCTGATAGGGCCACATGGTACACACCATGTGCAAGGTGATGCAAGGATAGTTCCATGAAAGTAGAAATGAGATCATTTTACCCTATTTCTTCACTAAGTCCTGTATTTCACTCTATGACTCAATTGTACATTTATACCTCCTATAGTAAAAAGTTTTGTCTTCTTTCAGATATAAGTGCCTCTGTGATGCAGGCTGGGTTGGCATCAACTGTGAAGTGGACAAAAATGAATGCCTTTCTAATCCATGCCAGAATGGAGGAACTTGTGACAATCTGGTGAATGGATACAGGTGTACTTGCAAGAAGGGCTTTAAAGGTGAAAACAAAAGTACATCTTTCTGTATCTGCTCTCTTTTCTTTTTGTTGCATACTGCTTGACTCACTTCTTAGTTTCCTTTTCTCTTTTTCATTCATTCATGTAACAAACATATTGAACAATTAGAAACTTCTAAGGCACATGGGGAATAAAAACATGAATAGATTCAATTTCTACCTTCAGCCTAGCAGTGAGGTAACCTATCAAAATAGTATTTTTCTTTTTCTTTTTCTTTTTTTTTTTTGAGATGGAGTTTCGCTCTTGTTGCCCAGGCTGGAGTGCAATGGCACGTGATCTTGGCTCACCGCAAGCTCCGCCTCCTGGTTTCCAGCGATTCTCCTGCCTCAGCCTCTCTAGTAGCTGGGATTATAGGCATGTGCCACCACACCTGGCTAATTTTGTATTTTTAATAGAGACAGGGTTTCTCCATGTTGGTCAGGCTGGTCACAAACTCCTGACCTCTGGTGATCCGCCCACCTCGGCCTCTCAAAGTGCTGGGATTACAGGCATGAGCCACCACGCCTGACCTGAAATAGTCATGTTTAAGATGAACCGTTAAGACTCCAGTTTTACAGCATTGGCCAAGTGTCCAATTATAAGCTTCCTGGTCCAGGTTTGAGTCTATAATAGTTCAAATAGATATATGAAAGTAGAATGAAAATACTATGCTTACTGTAATTAAGATAGTAGTAATATCAAGGAAGAATCCACATGTTCAGAACTCTTTCAACAAACTTTTTAACACATTGAGATATTCTTACTTAGTCATCTTTGGTCTACACCGGAGGTCCTCAACCCTCAGGCTACAGACCAGTACCTGTGCGTGGCCTGTTAGGAACCAGGCCACACTGCAGGAGGTGAGCAGCCGGCGAGGGGGCCAAGCTTCATCTGTATTTATAGCCACTCCCCATCACTAACATTACCGCCTGAGCTCTGCCTCTGTCAGATCAGTGGTGGCCTTAGATTCTCATCGGAGTGCGAACCCTATTGTGAACCGCATATGTGAAGGATGTAAGTTGTGTGCTCCTTATAAGAATCTAATGCCTGATGATCTGTCACTGTCTCCCATCACCTCCAGATGGGACTGTCTAGTGGTAGGAAAACAAGCTCAGGGTTCCCACCAATTCTACATTATAATGTAGAGTCTACTATATTATGAGTTGTAAAACTATTTCATTATATATTACAGTGCAATATTATAATAAAAATAAAGTGTACAATAAATGGGATATGCTTGAATCATCATCCTAAAACCATCCCCTCAACACCAGATCATGGAAAAATTTGTCTTCCACGAAACCAGTCCCTGGTGCCAAAAAAGTTGGGGGACTGCTGGCCTACCCAACAAATGTATTGTCATGGGAGTTGGGTAAATTCTGTTTCTGAGTTATCACTGTTGTATTTCTACCATCAGTTTTCTCTTGGAAACTCACAAAAGAGACCTATGTGGATAAGTCATTATATTTGCACTCATCTGTCTACTTATTCGTTGATTTCCTCACTCAAATATTGTACCATGCTGTTGTCATACATCAGCATGTTTTAGAGCCACTTTGTTTGATTACTTGAAACTTTTCTGAGACCATATTTCAGCCATTAATTTTCTGATATATTATATTACATTGGCAAAGAAACTTGTAGATTTCAAAACACTTTTATTTCTTTATCTTATGAGTCTTGCTTATCAGTGAACAAAATAAAATTCAAAAGGTAAGATCCCAAGTTATATGCCCAGTGAGCAGCAGAATACTCCTTGAACCCATACCTCTGCATCCCTAGACCATGTTTTCTTTTCCACAGTGTCATAGTTTCTCTATTTTAAGGCTCTGTGCCAGGCCCTATTGCAGATGCAAAGGTGCGCAGTATTTGGGTACAGTGCTATCTCCACTAATCTTTTATTCGTTTTATCCTTTTCTTAGTGGGAGAAGGTTTCATGCCTTGAATCAGGAGAAAACAGCTTTGTAACTCCAGGAAGTACCACATGGGTGGTAGACACTGTGTCTATGAAAAAATGGGCATAAACCAGAGGCTTTGATTAAAGTATTCAAAAACACCATCCCTTTTCCTGACCAGAAATGTTATATACAAAGGGCTTATGTTTATCATGCAGCAAGCTATTGGCTGGGTGTGATGGCTCACACCCGTAATCCCAGCATTTTGGGAGGGTGAGGTGGTAGGATCATTTGACCCCAGAAGTTTGAGACCAACCTGGGCAACATAATGAGACCTCATCTCTACAAGAAATTTAAAAAGTCAAGTGGGCATGATGGCATGCACCTGTGGTTCTAGCTACTCAGGAGGCTGAGGTGGGAGGATTGCTGAGCCTGAGAGGTCGAGGCTGCAGTGAGCCATGATTACACAACTGCATTCCAACCTGAATGACAGAGTGAGACCCCCTGTCTCAAAAATAAATAAATAATAAATAGATCATGCAACAAGCTTTTGAACCAAGAACTTCATTATTGAGAAGTTATTTGTAGTTGGAGGGGCATTAGGCTTTCAGACTGTTAGAACAGACTGTTTTTCCATACATCTTTTCAACTAATTGACTGGGGTCATTTACTGACTGTATGTCAGGGACATGGGACTGAAATGAATGAACAGATATTTTAGTGGCCTGAAGAAATGAATGCACTTTCTGGTGTGTTCAGTTTTTACCCCCAAAGAGAATTGGTTAGAAATTGAGATAATGAGACTGTCAGAAAGTTTTACTGTTTTTGGTTTTTCCCTTTTGTCTACAGGCTATAACTGCCAGGTGAATATTGATGAATGTGCCTCAAATCCATGCTTGAACCAAGGAACCTGCTTTGATGACATAAGTGGCTACACTTGCCACTGTGTGCTGCCATACACAGGTGGGTCCTGGAAGTACCAGCAGGGACCAGAGGGGATACTTGGCCTTGCTTTGTCAGTGCCTGAGTCTGAGTGCCCAGGTCTGTGGGGCTGCAGTGCTGCTCCAAGGGCTCACTCCTCAGTTGTCCTTCCTGCCCTTACTGACTGGATCTTGAGCTTTGAGGAAACATTGTGGCCTCCTAAGATGCAAGTGGTAGACAGTCATTTGCCTACATTGTACTTAAGTATTTGAAAGAAAAAAATTTTTAATTGTATGTGACTGGAACCAGGCACATAGCTGATGGTTGTCTATCAGTTGACCGTTTCCAGGACATTAGCTATTTGTCTTAGTTTCGATAATACAGCTACCATTTATTGGTAATTTACTATGTGCCAGACACTTTTTGTACTTTGGATTATTTAATGTATTCCTCAATAATTCTACAATGTAGAAGTTCCTATTGCCATTTTACACATGAGGAGGCTGAGGCAAAGGGAGCTTGCTTGCTCAAGGTCATATAGGTAAGTGGTACATCTAGGATTTACCTGTAAGTCTCTTTGAATCTGAAGTTTTTCCTCTTAATGACCTTTTTACTTCCCACATTCAGTACCGCTACATCTCACTCAGAGGTGTCACCCCTTTGACGGCTGTTACAACTGAGAAGACGTGAGTGTGACTGCATGCCACATAGCTGTTCTTTGTTTCAGGTGTTACATTTTACATTTGGAGTGTGCTTGGGACATTTATTCTTTGTTTTCTACTGGCTTATTATTGCCTTCTTGTGGTTGGTTATATTTCTATGGCTTGTTTATCTCCTCTTCATCTATTTTCCTCATTCAGAGGGAACAAAACACAAACATAGACAATAATTGTCTGTTTCATCAGGTTGCGGCATGCAGTCAGGAGCATGGCTGAGTTATTACTTCCCTGGTGTCTTGAGCTGTTGATAGCAGCTGTTGATAGTGACGCTAAGTTGTGTAGAGTAGCAGAATAACCATAGCATGACTGTGTTACCTGAAAGACTTGATAGCACATTGTTACTTTTTCCCCTCTAGAAGAAATAGTAGGCCGGGCGCGGTGGCTCACCCTGTAATCCCAGCACTTTGGGAGGCCAAGGTGGGCGGATCACGAGGTCAGGAGATTTCAACCATCCTGGCTAACATGGTGAAATCCCGTCTCTCCTAAAAATATAAAAAATTAGCCGGGCGTGGTGGCAGGCACCTGTAGTCCCAGCTTCTTGGGAGGCAGAGGCAGGAAAATGGCGTGAACCTGGGAGGTGGGGGTTGCAGTAAGCTGAGATCATGCCACTGCACTCCAGCCTGGGTGACAGAGTGAGAATCCATCTCAAAAAAAAAAAAAAAAAAAGAAATAGTAATGTAGGGAAACTACATTTAAAACAGGCCTAGTTCATAAAATCACAGTTGTAGGAGGTCCCTAACTATCTTGCCCAAGGTTACACAGTTAGCAATATTGGAGCCAATGCTGAAAAGACTACGGGTTTCTCCATTTTCAAAGCCTCTTAATCAAGACTTCTTACTTAAATTCAGAGAACATCCTTGGGATACAACTTGGGAAATTTTTCGTTTTCTTACCTGGTTATGTGTCATAAACTCTGTCATTTACTTTCCAGGCAAGAACTGTCAGACAGTATTGGCTCCCTGTTCCCCAAACCCTTGTGAGAATGCTGCTGTTTGCAAAGAGTCACCAAATTTTGAGAGTTACACCTGCTTGTGTGCTCCTGGCTGGCAAGGTAACAACATGGGTGTGGAGAAGCCAAGAACATGCATTCTGAGCTTTAAACAAAGTGGTCAGGTTATCAGATCATATGGAAGGCCCTGCTGGTCTTCTGAGGCCTGTACGTCTTGTCAAGAGCACACAGGTTTTGCATAGGAGCTGCTAATTGAAATGACTTAGAAAGCCTTTCCATTGTCTGTGTCTTTGGGGCCCCCTAGCGGCTGGAAGGCTGCTACCGCAGACTCTCAAGCCATGATGTTCGTTCTTCAGGGAGTTTTAGCACCTTGGCAGCAACTTCCTAGGCCACAGAAGTCTTCCTGAAACTTCCTAAAGTAGGGGACCAACCAGTTTGTGGAATAGCTCCATGCACCCCAACTTAAGCTCAGGTCCTGCATAGGTTTTTGTGGGAATCACCTTCCAAGGACTAGGTCATTTATTGGCCTTGTGTTCCTAGGTCAGAGGTGTACCATTGACATTGACGAGTGTGTCTCCAAGCCCTGCATGAACCATGGTCTCTGCCATAACACCCAGGGCAGCTACATGTGTGAATGTCCACCAGGCTTCAGTGGTATGGACTGTGAGGAGGACATCGATGACTGCCTTGCCAGTGAGTATGCCAGTCAGCTCTTAAGCCCCCCTGAAGAAAGGAAAGCACACAGGGAGCAGAGGAGAGCCCAGTGGAGGCTGCCACCACTCATGCCTGACATTGGGCATACCGGTCATTTATCCAGCATATTTAACAGTAGTGTTCTAACTCTTTCTTTTGAAGCTAGTGTCTTGGAGTTGAGGCAGTGGAATATATTTTAAGTATTCCCTTTAATTTGTGAACATTGAAAATGTGAGGACAATGCTATGATAGTGTTTTTTAAAAAACAGATTTATTGAGGTATAATTAATATACATTAAACTGCAGATATTTTTAGTGTACAATTTGACACATTTTGACATATGGTAACTGAAACTATCACCCAAAATAATAAACATATTTATCACCCTAAAATTATCTTCATCCCATTGCAATTTAACCTTCTCTCTCTCTTTATTGCCTGTGGAGCCACAGGTTTACCTTCTGTCACTATAGATTATTAGTTGGCAGTTTTTATCATTCCATATAAATGCAATCAGGTAAGCATAAGTCAGGAGAAGTTCTGAGTTGTTTTAATGAACATAGTATTTGAGATCCATCCATGTTGTTTATACCAATAGTACATTCTAGTTTATTGTTGCACGGTATTCCATTGTATGGACATATTACAGTTCATTGTTTGATGGCCATTTGGGTGTTTTCCAATTTGGGGATATTACAAATGAAGTTGCCATGAATGAGTCTTTGGGTGGACTTTGGATTTTAGTTCTCTTGAGTAAATACCTAGGAGTAGAATTGGTGAATCATGTGCTAAGTGTGTGTTTCACTTTTTAAGAAATTGCCAAAATATTTTCCAAGGTGGTTGTACTATTTTCATTCTCACCAGAATTATGAAAGTTCTATTTGAACCATATGCTCACAAACTCTTGGTGATATCAGTCATTTAAATTTAGCTCTTCTAGTTGGTGTATAGTGGTATTTCATTGTGATATTAATTTGTGTTATTATCTTTGCCAATGATGTTAAGCATCATTTCATGTGCTTTTTGCCCATCTGCATATCTTCGTTGGTGAAATGTCTATTTAAATCTTTTGCCCATTTGAAATAATTGGATTGTTCGTCTTCTTGAGTTGAAAGAGTTCTTTATATTTTTAGATAACAATTCTTTGACAGGTATTTGCTTCCCAACGACTTCCCTCCAATTTGTAGCTTCTCTTTTGATTTCTTTTGAAGATGAAAATGTTAACATTGATGAAATTCAGTGTATGCATGTTTTTTCTTTATAGTTCATGCTTCATATTTCTTGTTTAACAAATCTTCACCTAATCCAAACTCGAGGTTTATCTACTGTGGTTTCTTCTAAAAGTCGTATAATTTTAGCTCTTATATTTTGGCCTATGATCTATTTTGAGTTAATTTTTACATATTGTGTGATATTGTACTAAGATCTTCAATAAATGCAGAATAGAAGTGGTGAGAGAAGCCAGCCTTACCTTGTTTTTGATCCTGGGGGAAAAGTATGTAGTCTTTTACCATTAAGTAAGATGTTACCTATAGGTTTTCATAAAGGCTCTTTAGCAAATTGAGAGACCTTGTACTTCTGGTTTGTTAAGAGGTCTTTTTGTATTTTTATAATGAATGAGTGTTTATTTTTTGGTGTGCAGTTGATTTCTCTACATCTGTTGACATGGTGAAATTATTTTTTGGTCTTTTAATATAAGTAAATTGTCATCAACTTTATTATTTAATATTTTGCAAATGTTAAACTAATCTTAAATTTATTGGCTATATTCCATTTGGTCGTTATGTATTACTCCTTTTATGTATTATTGGATTTGATTTGCCAAAATGTTGTTAAGGATTTCTATATCTGTGTTCATGAAGGATATTGTTCTCCAGGTTTCTTGTACTATCATTGTCTGGTTGTGATAGGAGGGCAATGCTGTCCTCATAGAACATATCAGGAAGTGTTTCTTTCTATTTTCTGGGAGAATTTATGTAGAACTGGTGTATTTTCTTCCAAATATCTAGACATGGAACCTTCTTTCTGGGAAAGTTTTTAACTACAAGTTTGGTTTTCCTAATACATATATTGCCTTATGGGCTATCTGTTTTTAATTGAGCTTTGGTAATATCTGTCTATAAGAATTCCTCCAGTTCATCTATTTTGTCAAATTTGTTGAAATAACATCAATTTGTTTCATAACATTTCCTTACTGAGCATTAATAGTCTGCAAGATCTGTGACGATTTCCTTCTCATGTTTCTACTATTGGTAATTTGTCTCTTCTTTGAGAGGAAAGAATGTCTGTTTTGCAGATTTTTTCATAGAGTGTTCTATAAATGTTATTAATTCAAATTGGATAATAGTGTTATTCAGGTCTTTTATGTCCTCTATGACTTTCTGTCTACTTATTATTCATAGAGTATAGTAAGTAGGCTTTCTGTTTATTTCTTGTTCAAGAGTATTGAAATCTTCTACTATCATTGTATATTCATCTGTTTCTCTAGTAATTCTTTTTGTTTTGGCTTAATGAATTTTGAAACTCTAATATTAAGTGCTTATAAACATTTAGGGTTCTTATGTCCTTTTGAGGAATTGACCCATTTATCATTTTGAAATGGTCTTTTTAAACTCTTGTCATATTTCTCTCTCTGAGGTCTACTTTGCCTGATATTGATATAGCTACTCTAGCTTTATTTTATCATTAGAGTGTGTTTTAAAAAATCCTTTTACTTCTGACCTGTTTCTCTAAAATGGGTTTCTTGTAGAGAGCATATGTTGGGTCTTGTCTTTTTTCTCCAATATGACAATATCCATCTTTTAATTCAGGTATTTAGGCTGTTTAAATTTAATGTAGTTTTTTATATGGCTGGCTTCAAAATATGCCATCTTGCTGTTTGCTTTATCTTTGTTCTTTCTGTTTATTGTTTCCATTTTCCTCTTTTTCTGACATCTTTTGAAATAGTTGCATATTTTTATGATTATGTTATCTACATACATAAATTTCAAAAATTTATCTATATTCACTACCGTATTCGTTTTATATTTTTTAGTAGTTATTGTAGGGATTACTGGTGTGCAACTTTAACTTGTTATAATGTACCTTCAATCATGCAACTTCATATAGAGGAGAAGAGCTGTACACTCACATCTGCATTCCTCCTGGCCTCTCTTGTATTATTGTTATAAAATATATATATCGTTAAACCCACCAAATATATAATTAAAAGGTAGATTATTTTTTCAAGAAATTTGAAAAATAATTTAAAAGTCTTTAAGTTACCCACATATTTTCAAGTCTTGTTGGTTTTTATTCTTTTATGTAGATTTGTGTTTCCATCAGGTATCAGTTTCCTTCTGTCTGAAAAAATCCCTTGAATATTTTGTGTAATCTTTGTCTCCTGGTGATGAAATCTTTCTGTTTTTGTGTGTCAGAGAGGTTTTTATTTTGCTTTAGTTTTCAAAGATATTTTCACAGGGAAGAGAATTCTAAATTGACTTACTCTTTCAGCACTTTAAAGCTCTCCTATTATCTTCTACCTTGCATTATTTCTGAGGAGAAATCTGCTGTTATTGCACAATTCTTTTATCTGTTCCTTCATATATAATTATGTCTCCTGTGGCTGCTTTTAAGATATCCTCTTTCCACTGATTTTTACCAACTTGATTATAATGCCTGTTAGTGTAGTGTTCTTTATGTTTCTTCTGTTTGGAGTTTACTTGTATTTTTGGTTAGGAGTCCAAGTCTGGAAAATACTTAACCATTATTTGGAAAATATTTAACCTTTTTTTTTCCAAAAGTTTTTGCCTCTCCCCTTTATAATGTTCATTATGCATTTATTAGACTGCAAGGTTGATTCATTTATTTTTCAGTGTTTTTTCCACTTAATGTTTTATTTTGGATTATTTTATTATTTGAAGATATCTTGTTATAATTCCAAGTTCACTAATTGTTTCCTCTATAGTTTCTTGTTTACTGTTAATCTCATTTAGTATATTTTTCCCTCAGATATTATGTTTTTATAGGTAGAAGTTTAGTTCAAGTCTTTCTTTTAATGTTATCTCCCTCTTTGTCATGTTCATCCTTTTATTTCCTTCTTGAACATATTGAGTATCATCGTATTATAGTTGATAATAATTGACCATATTTTATTGTCATTACCTACTTTTCTACCATATAAGAAATTCCTGAGTATGTTTCTGTTCAAATTTTTTCTACTCATTTTGAGTTGTATTTCCTGCTTCTTTGCCTGCCTGGTAATTTTTTGTTGGATGCTAGACATCAATTTTACATTGTTTCATGCTGAATTTTCTTAAAAATCTTTTTTAAAAAAACATTTTTGAACTTTATTCAAATATTCAATTATTTGGACATAGTCCAATCCTTCAGAGTCTTACTTCAAGTTTGTTAATTGGTTCCAAAATAGTCTTTAGTCAAGGGCTAATATGGCTCACTACTAAGACAGGGGTCCCTCGGGACTCTACTCACTGCCACATGGTTTTTTTCATTGTTATTGAATGAACATGAGCTATTCGCAGCCCAATGAAAACTATAGGGATTATACTGCCTACGTCTTTCTAGTGGTTGTTCCCCTAGCTTTAATAGTTTTATTACGTATGTACTGACCAATCCTTAGTTACTTGTGTAATGATTAAGTCATTAAACTTCAAATGAGATTATCACAATGCATTAATAATGGCACCTTAATTTAGAGGATATATAACTTCAGATTATCATAGGGAGGCCACCATGCTAGGTGCTGGCAGTGATAAGATAAATAAGTTTTAGTTTCTATTTTCATGAAGCTCATAGTCTATTAGGGAAGAAAGACATATAGATACAGTTTGAGACCAGCCTGGCCAACATGGTGAAACTAAAATACAAAAAGTAGCCAGGCGTGGTGGCGGACATCTGTAATCCCAGCTACTCGGGAGGCTGATGCACGAGAATCTCATGAACCCAGGAGGTGGAGGTTGCAGTGAGCCAAGATTGTGCTACTGTACCTCCAGCCCAGGCAACAGAGTGAGACTTCATCTTTAAAAAAAAAAAAAAAAAAAACAGACATATGGACAAATAATTTTAATGATGTATTACAAATGGTGAAAAAGTATGTATCCAAGGCACAATTGATGGAGAACTTTAGGGAGTGAGATCAAGCTGTTTGTATTTCTTTCTCACATTGAGTAACATGTCATTCAAAATACTGAGTATTTTTAAATTTTTCTATATGAAGTGGAACCAATAGTATTTACAATGAGTTTAAAATAATTCAGTAAATTATGGATGGTGAGTTTCCTGAAAGATGCTATGGAAATTATAGTAACTGTGTACTGTGGTTAAGAAACAATTTTTTCTTAACTGAAACAATTTTTACAATTGCTTTAATAGAGACTGCAGATGAGTCTTATAAGGGAATTTGTTCAAGAGATAAATGAGGTATATTAAATGTTTCTCTAATAAAATAAGGGTCACATTACCCATTAGTTTAGTATTTAGTTTTCATTTTACATGTATAACCCATCTTTGCAATTATATTTTTAAGTTCCTTAAGAGCCATAGCTACAGCTTGTTTTTCTTGTTCTGATTTGTATGCCATATGATTGTAGAGTGCCGTAGCATGACTGTCACTTAAAATTTGTTGGTTCCTTACTATGAGTATAAAGTGTTCCAATTTTTATTTAAACTTTGTTTCATAAGGCTACTGAAATCTAAAAGAGAGAAAAAGAGAGAGGAGACAGAAGTGAAAGGGAGAGAGAAGATTAATTTATATAGTTAATATGCCTGGAAAAACATGAATATGTGTATTTTGTCCTCCCCCACACACTGCGTAATCACATATACCTTTTGAAAATATTGATTGATATTCTGTGTATTGGGGCACATATTTGATTTGCAAATGTGTGAGGGACCAATGCAAGTTTTATGACTATTGGTTTTACAAAACTGTTGGTGGTGATATAGATGAAGTTTATTCCAATTAACGAACAGGTTAAAAACTTCAAGCAAGTATTACTGAATTCATTTTCATAAATGGGGGAGTTGGCAGAGTTGAATGAAAAAGTCAGAATTATGCTGCCCTCAGCGTGACTTAGTTCAGGTCATTCACTTTTATGAATCTAAGATTAAATTGATGCAGAGCTCTAATTCTTATGTAATGGCTTAGATCCTTGCCAGAATGGAGGTTCCTGTGTGGATGGAGTGAATACTTTCTCCTGCCTCTGCCTTCCGGGTTTCACTGGGGATAAGTGCCAGACAGACATGAATGAGTGTCTAAGTGAACCCTGTAAGAATGGAGGGACCTGCTCTGACTACGTCAACAGTTACACTTGCAAGTGCCAGGCAGGATTTGATGGAGTCCATTGTGAGAACAACATCGATGAGTGCACTGAGAGGTGAGCAACCAATCACTTGGGCATCAGCATCTTACAAGAGAAAGGGAGAATGGGAAGGAAACTTCAGAGCACAGTGCTAGAATTATGGAGCAGGGATGAGGTGTCCCCATGGATCCCAGTCCACAGTCATCTCCTGTTGCCCAGTTACTGGTTCCTGAAAAACATATGTAGTTAGAAAGTTAAAGGTCAAAGGTTGCAAAGTTTATAGGAATGGTTTATTATTTCTTGCTTAGAGAACAGAAAGAGCTATAATTCTGTTCTGTTCTTCCCTTGGTCTCTTGTTCATTTCAAAAATCCAAAAATTCCATTTTCTCTGCAGAGATTGGAATTGTTACCAGTCTTTAAGAAATTTCTGGGAGTTTTGTTTCATTTGTTTTTATAATATCATGAACATATTTGTTCTATTTGTCTTTTATAAATAATCTATAGTGAAGAGGATTTTTCAAATAAATTGACTTAGAGATAAAATGAAATGTGATACATGGGAAAACTATAGAAGAACTGGGTAAAACCTAGAAGACTTCACTTTCTCTAGGTATCTATACTAAGCTCAGTCTTTTAAATACTTCTAAGCCTTTGATTATAGAAAGGAAGTGGGCACCTCAGAGCTTCTGGCACCCAATCTAGCTTGTAAGAAAGTTTACAGGATATGGGTTGCTCAGAGGTATTTGCCTCTGTAACATCTTAGATTCCAGAAATCTTACTTTCTAGTAGTAGGTCACAGGCACCAGATGCATAGCTGATGTTGCTCTTTCTGTTTGCTTCTTAGCTCCTGTTTCAATGGTGGCACATGTGTTGATGGGATTAACTCCTTCTCTTGCTTGTGCCCTGTGGGTTTCACTGGACTCTTCTGCCTCCATGAGATCAATGAATGCAGCTCTCATCCATGCCTGAATGAGGGAACGTGTGTTGATGGCCTGGGTACCTACCACTGTAGCTGCCCCCTGGGCTACACTGGGAAAAACTGTCAGGTAATTGACTTCCTTCCTATTCACCAAACTGCTCCCCTAGAGCAGCTGAATATTATACCTGTTCACTTTCTAGTCTGAATAAGTTCCTTCTAAAAGAGACTATTGTGGATCTCAGGGATGTCCCTGAGATAATCTAGGTAACTTCTTAATAACTTGCAGATTCCAAAATGATGCTGGCAATATGGTATAGATTCACAAATGTAAGATCTTGAAAAGAGGCTAACCAAGAACTGCAGAAAAATACATGTGGGAAATAAACACAGTTTTTTCTTGTTTTTTTGTTTTGTTTTGTTTTGTTTTACATTGGAAGCACAGAAAGAACTGAAGAAAATAGAGAATAATCAAAATAACGTTTTAAAGATCAGATGCAACATCTAAGGGGGTAATAATGATAATTGTTATATCTTACAATGTGGTAACATTCTCAAAACCAAACAATTTACATATCTTTTAAGTTCAAATATGTAAATACACACTTCCATAAAATTTTAGGATGGAAAGAGTCCTTATAGGCAACTAATCTAACCTTTGATTTCATGGAAGACAAAACTGAGCCCCAGAGGGTCAAAGTAACTTTTCCAAAGCTGCATACCAAATAGCACTGTATTTAATTTTATGTTATTCTACTTCTTTAATAGTGATAGAATAATAACTCCAAAGAACATAGGAACAAATGGCCAAACTTAACTTGACTTACAGGGCACACTTAAGTAAGGCTTAGGCTGTATTAGACATGCGAACACCCACCTCCACAGAATTAAGCGGCTTGTTGCTGATTCCATGGATCCCGAGAGCATTTTTGGTTGGGCTCCTATTTGTTCTCATAGCATCAATTGGAAGTGCTGGCGAAGCACTCCTCCCTTCTTCCAGCAAACAGTCTATATTGTGAATTTGGCCTTCCTCTCCTCAAGGGGCCAAGCCACTCCATGTGTGAATTCAGATGAAAGGTGCCAGTCCTTGTGTACTCTTTGCGTCAGATTGCCTTCCTTAGAAATAAGCTCTTAAACGGTTTTAGGCTTATTAACAGGCATTAAGTCCTTTTACCCATATTCACCAAAGATAGATTTGGTCAAGACCCACGTGGATTTCTCACACAGGATTAGCACAGCAAGTGTGAACCTGTCTGACAGCTTTAACTCTTTCTTTCTAGCACTGCGGGGTGGCCATACATGTAGGCAAATCATGTCTAGAGCATTGGGAATAGCTTAACCTGTTGGGCTTCCTTGAATTTTTAAACTTCTTTGGTAATAACTTTTTAAATAGAAGACCTAAGAGGAATTAGACTACAGCAGGCCCTCAAATAACTTTGTTTCCTTCAGCGTCATTTTGTTATAACATTGAGTGGTGGAAAAAATCTGTTTTTGGCCAGAGCTGCTCTCTGTGTGGGGTTTGCATGTTCTCCCCATGTCTGTGTGGGTTTTCTCCAGGGACTCCAGTTTCTTCCCACAACTCAAAGCCATGTATGTTGGGTGAAGTGGACATGTCTACATTGTCCCATTGTGCCAGAATAGGCTCTGGCCACTCGTGAACCTGAACTGGAATAAGTGGGTTAGAAAATAAATGAATGGGGCCAGGCACGGTGGCTCACTCCTGTAATCCCAGCACTTTGGGAGGCTGAGGTGGTGGATCATGAGGTCAGGAGATCGAGACCATCCTGGCTAACACAGTGAAACTTCATCTCTACTAAAAATACAAAAAATTAGCCAGGTGTGGTGGCAGGCACCTGTAGTCTCGGCTACTTGGGAGGCTGAGGCAGGAGAATGGCATAAACCCAGGAGGCGGAGCTTACAGTGAGCCAAGATTGCACCATTGCACTCCAGCCTGGGCAACAGAGTGAGACTCCATCTCAAAAGAAAATAATAAATAAATGAATGAATATGCCAATTATTGTAAAATGAAAACTCATAAAGCCTATGATAATCGTACCGGGTGCACAACAATAAGCGATGTGGTACAAAACCACCCAGCAAAGCCTGCCATATTGGTTAGTGTTGCTTTCTGAACTGTGTGGTGGTAAGAGGTGCTGACAGTTTTGCTTTGCAAACATTTATTCCTTGACTTGACCTGCCACCACTAGGACTACCGTTACTCGCGGATTCACCAAAAATTGGATAAATAATTATTTTACTTGTTTTTATTAATATTTCTTAAATGAATGTATAGCTTGTTTATTTTAATGTTTAATATTAGAAGTGGGTGTTAATTTGAAGTTTAGTGACTTTTTTAACTAGAAATAAGTATAGGAACTTAACTCTTTTTTGTATCAATTAGACTGTGGTAAAATTGGTTTCATTATATATTGTTGTCCTTAAAGTCGCAGTTTCCAGGAACCTAATGACGACGTTAAGTGAAGACTTACGGTACGTAAAAATAGTTAGGTGTACCTCAGAACGCTGAATCTAGTTTAAGGGCTCTTTTACTAGATGAAGGCTCCTTTTCTTTTTAATGAGTGTGCTTTTCTTTGATTTCTTGTAACACAATAGAACTTCTTTTTCTTCATTTCTAGTATTTGGATTTTGATGTATGTACACCCCTGCCTCTGTTTCAGACCCTGGTGAACCTCTGCAGTCGGTCTCCATGTAAAAACAAAGGTACTTGCATTCAGGATAAAGCAGAGTCCCGGTGCCGATGTCCATCTGGATGGGCTGGTGCTTACTGTGACGTGCCCAATGTCTCTTGTGACATAGCAGCCTCCAGGAGAGGTAAGCTTTGCTCCCTTGGACTCAGGTCATTCACTGAAATATTGACTGACCAGGGGCATTCAGAGCAGGTATTATTTTTTGTCAGATAAGAGGGAAGGGCAGATAGTAGTGGGTGGGCAGGGCTCTGGGGAAAGGGCTCAAGATAGAAGATGTAAGGGTAGAGGAATAGGTTCAGAGATTCCAGGAAGAAATGTATTTGAAATGAAACTAAGGTATATTCCACTTTCAGGGTTTATTTTTAATATACATCTGGTACTGAGGGCTGTGAAGAACTGGCTAAGAGTAAGATTTGATGTGTCAGCCAGTTTAGGTTTACTTGCTCATTGGTTGATTTGAACCCCATGTGTCACATGTTCTTCTGTGATATTTCTTCCTCACTGGGTTTCCCAGGTGTGCTTGTTGAACACTTGTGCCAGCACTCAGGTGTCTGCATCAATGCTGGCAACACACATTACTGTCAGTGTCCCCTGGGCTATACTGGGAGCTACTGTGAGGAACAGCTTGATGAGTGTGCATCCAACCCCTGCCAGCACGGGGCAACGTGCAGTGACTTCATTGGTGGATACAGATGCGAGGTGAGGACACTGAACAAGCAGAGGTCATGGACCTCCCAGGAGATCATACAACTGTTTTGAGCACTGATATATTGAATTTAGCTGCTTTTATCTTATATTTATAGTTTATAGATTTTTACCAATCCCCATCATAGTGTTTACCACTGTTTCTTTCAGCTTCTCTATGCAGTAAGTTAACATGTCCCTAGTATGGAACCATCCCAGCTCCTTAGGCTTGCTTTTAGGATTCGGAGCCAAGAGTCACTACCAGAGTGCATTTTACAGGCTCATCCAACATAGCAGTCCGCACTTCCCTGAATAGCAGCTGAGATAGGAAAAACTGCTTTGTGGAATATTCCTTTGGCCCCTCTCACCTTTGTATGCAGTCATTAATCAGTCAACTAGCAATTTTCTCTCAAAAAAAATGTTGCTCATCCTGTTCCCCATAGCATCATGCTAAATGTTACATGTATATATTGGAGGAAGTATGTGTCTTCAAGGGACATGTCACTATTTTAATGTCTGGGCTGATAATGGTTAGAGCAAGCAAGATATTAGCAAAATGTCTGAGACATTAATTTGATACCAATTCAAACCATCAAGCAACACTGAGAAAAGCTTTGCTTCTCTATTGTTATATGAATGAGCCAATGATAGCTTCTGTATTTTGGCCCCTGGGTTGTTTATTTCTTCACAGCAGGCTGGGACTCATTAGCTGAAAGGCCTGCCAGTGCCAAACCCAAATTTTGACACATCCAGTTGTTTTAAACATAGCGCTCAAATAAGCAGATTTTTAACTATTTAGAGCTTGCCTGCTTTGCATAGCCTGCAAAACGGCAGCCAAAATCTGCTATCCATAGTATAAGTAGGACAAGATATACCCTGGGGCCATACAGACGCCAGACTGATGCTGGCCTTTAGAGCTCTCTGACCCAGAGATTCCTGCCACTGGCTGCTGAGTGACATCACCTAGACTCCCTCTCTGATCCTTCTTTCCCAGAGTTTACTTGCTATCTTCCTCTTACCCACCTACCCCTCTGGAAGGTCTCATGCTATATGGGACTTCTCCCACATGCAAACCTGTCAAAGTGTCCAAATAAAGCCACCTCACAGCCATATCCTTTTTCTTGGTCAGCCCTGAAATCCTTCCAACCCCTATAGCCACCACAGCCAGCCAGACCCACCTCCCTTTACCCCCAGCCGTATCTCAACCAGTTTCTCACACATACATGCAGGTTCCTAAACCTGGAGATCAGTAATTGCATGTCTGTGCTACCATCCACATATGCCTTTTGACTGAGTCATAGGGTCCTCATCACATACAGAGAAATGTGTATTTTAAAGATGAGGAAACCTGTACCTGGGAGGAACAAAAGGTTTGCACACAAGTCAAATCTGAAATATCCTTCATTGTATTCAGTCTTTGCCTTCCCTTTAAAGTGCCTTTTTCAACTGGAGGAGGAATAGGTAAATGCCAGTAAGCTGCGGGTTTTCTGTCCCTGCGTAGAATGATTAGCAGAGAGTGTGATGGCTCCAGAGGAAACATACAAAAGCTAAGTGGGGAGGTGGGAGAGAGTCACAGAAATGTTCCAGATCTCACTTGCTCTCATGGTCTGTTTCCAGTAATGGTCCAGTATTTCTTGTCCTTTTTGTTTCCTCATGGCAGTGTGTCCCAGGCTATCAGGGTGTCAACTGTGAGTATGAAGTGGATGAGTGCCAGAATCAGCCCTGCCAGAATGGAGGCACCTGTATTGACCTTGTGAACCATTTCAAGTGCTCCTGCCCACCAGGCACTCGGGGTAGGAAATCATCCTTATCCATTTTCCATCGAGGGCATTGTCTAAGTTATAAAACCATTCTTAGTGTTCAAGGGATTTTATAAAATCAAAGATAGTAAGACTAGCTTCATTCCAAGCATTTGGTTCTGCATCCTAGTAATTCAAGCCATTTTATTCTCCCATCTCTTGCTAACTCTGATGTTGTGATTTATGTTCTCAGTTTTATCCGGTTGTTTGGCATCTTGATATTCCATGAAACACAGAATATGGAACTGATACAATATTAACATAACATAACAAAATTAGCTTGGTCAGTAAGATTTCTTGTTACTTCACAGAAAAGCAACTAATGACCTCTAAAATAAACAATTTACATGTACCTGCTTATGTATTTTTTAAATTAGCCAAGTCTTACCTCTATAAGGTGGGGGAATGAATGAAATGAAAATATCTGCTCATCACCTCAGGGGAGGATACTGATGGTGCAAGGTTCTACCTTAGGAATTGTAGTAAGGCCTGATGAGAGATGCAGCCATGGACTGTGAGTGATGGGGCCATCATTCTTCTGTGGGCATTGCCACTGCTTTTCAGCTAAGTGGTAGGGCCATGATTCTGCTGCGGACATTGACACTGCTTTTGAACCATCCCTTGGAAAGAGTTTTGAGTATTGTTTATCAGAAGACATGTAGTTATGATGGGGCCTACTCTGAGAAGCCTGTGAAAAAAATGTTAAAGGCCATCCACACTGGTGACAAATTCATTCTCGTTAGTGTCAAAGAGAACAGAGTGCCAGAGAAGTATTTGTATTGCCTTAGAGCTTTGTGTCAGTAAAGTTTGATAATTTGCCTTCCCAGATATCAGAGTTTGACTAAATTAAAATAGGAGAGTACCCTACTAGTAGGCTGGTTATTGAGGAATGAGGTTAATGGGAAGAAGAAAACTAAGGGGAAACGGTCTTTAAGTATTTGAAGAATGGTCCTGCAAAAAGGAGACTTGTTCTTTATTCTAGAAATCAATGGTTGAGTAAAAATTAATTCCAATTCATTGTTAGTTTGTTCCTTTGAGAAATTGTACTGGTTAGGACAAGCTATGATTCTGGTGATAGCTATTATCGTAGTTCATTTATGTTGCTATAAAAGAATACCTGAGACTAAGTAATTTATTTTTCGAAAGAGGTATATTTGGCTCACAGTTCTATAGGCTGTACAGGAAGCATGGTGCCAGCATCTGCCTCTGGTGTGAGCGTCAGGCTATTTCCACTCATGGTGAAAAGTGAAGAGGAGCCAATGTGTGTAGAGATCACATGGCAAGAGATGAAGCAAGTGAGAGGGGAGGGAGATCCCAGGCTCTTTTTAACAACCAGCTCTCATGGGAACTAATAGAGCGAGAATGCTGTCATTGTTTCAAGGATAGCACCTTGAGACATTCATGAGGGGTCTGCTCCAGGGACCCAGATACCTCCCATTAGGCCCTATGTCCAACATTGGAGATCACATTTTAACATGTGGTTTGGAGGAGTCAAACTTCAAGCTATAGCAGCTAATTAAACCTCAAATCTCAGAGCTTAATATAACACTGATTTTGTCACTCAGATAAAGTCGAATATGTGTTGGGCTACCTTTCTCTGTGTTTTAGATATGTAGTTTGAAACACCTGGCCTCCAAGGCCTCCATAGTACAGGGAAGAGAGACAGACTTGAAGGGTCATACAGCAGCTTTCACTAGCTCAGTCTGGAAGCAACACACATCACTGTCCCTCACAGTATATTGACCAGAATTACTAAATGACCTCCATGACTTCAAGGGAGGCTGGGAAATATAGGAGAATACATGAGTATTCATCAAACTCTAAAATCACTGCCATACCATGAACTTTTAATTAATAAGACTTGTCCAGTCCTAGAATGGATCATTTCAGGAGGAAACAAAATTTTTGTCTCTTCTAACGCTGTGGTAAAGATGGCTTAGAATACTAGTTTCGATATTATCATGACAGTCTTTTTCTTTGAGCACTTTGAATATGTCATCCAACTGCTTTCTGATATCCATGGTTTTTAATGAGAAATATGCTGTTAATCTTGTTGAAGTTCCCTTATGTGTGATACATTGCTTCTCTCTTGATGCCTTTAAGATTCTTTCTTTATCTTTTGATAGTTTGATTATGATATGTGTAGGTATGAATTTCTTTGACTTTATCCTACTTACAGTTCTTTGGATTATTTTACTATGTGTGCTTATTTAGGTATGTGGAACAGTATTTTTTTTTTCATCCTGACTTAACTTCTCTGGCCATTGGTAAACATTCCAGGAAACTTTAAAGTCCCGTAACCCCATTGTGAGAGTCATCACAATGTGTCACCGTATTTCTAAACTTGGATCTTTGCCTACATGTCCCTCCAGTTTCCCAGGTCGAGGGCTAACTGTAACAGTTCTGCCTCTTCCTATTACTTTGCTTCAGGCTGAGGTTGAGTTCTCTCTCATTTGATAGATCTGTTTATTTCTGGTGGTTCCATTCTGATGGGGAAATACACATTTATGTTCATTTTACTAGCAATCCCTAAATATCAAATATTCTTTGAGATAGGGAGCATATACTGGATTTTGTTTGTTTTTACTTTTTTGTTTTCAATTTATTCTGTGTATAAGGTGAGATATGCATATATGCATATAGACCAAAAATGTATTCACACATAGAAAAGTATACAATGAAAATACTTCTCATTCCCATCTCTCTTCTGGTGGGCAAATTTTCCCTCTCCCACAAACACGTAATCACCACTTTTAGTTGTTTGTGTTTCTTTCCAGAATTTTTCAAAAACTGTATCCTTCAAAATTTTCTTTATGTAGAGAGAAGCCAAATGCAATGATATTTTATTTCCTTTACTTTTTACTCTGAAGATAGAATATTAGACACATTTTTTGCACTTGATTTTTTTTTACTTAACTGGAGATATTTTCATATCAAAATATAGAACTTCTCTCTCCTCTATATATACTTCTCTCTATATATATTATATATATTATATATATTATATATATATTGATGCCTCTAAGATTCTTTATCTTTTGATAGTTTGATTATGATGTGTGTAGGAATATATATTATATATATATATTTTTTTTTTTTTTTTTGAGATGGAGTTTTGCTCTTGTTGCCCAGGCTGGAGTGCAATGGTACGATCTCAGCTCACCACATCCTCCGCCTCTTGGGTTCAAGTGATTCTCCTGCCTCAGCCCCCCGAGTAGCTGGGATTACAGGCATGTGCCACTACGCCCAGCTGATTTTGTATTTTTAGTAGAGACAGGGTTTCTCCACGTTGGTCAGGCTGGTCTCGAACTCCTGGCCTCAAGCGATCCAGCCACCTCAGCCTCCCAAAGTGCTGGGATGACAGGCGTGAGCCACCACGCCTGGCCCGAACTTCCTCAATATTTTTTATAGCTACAGAATTCCCTTTTACAGGCATGCCATATTTTACTTAACCAGTGTCATCATGATAGATATTTCAGTTATCTTGCAGGCATATAAGTATATTGGTAAAATAAATTTTCAGAAATAGAATCGCTGGATTGAGTAATATGTACATTTATAATTTTAATCAGTAATTGCAGTATATCAGCATACTGGCTTTTTGTTAAGGTGGAGAATATATTTTCATTTAAGAATCATTTTCCTTTTCTTGCAGTTTCTCTGTTTATATATATATTTTTATATATATATATGTATGTCTTTTTTCCCCCATTAAGTTGTTGATTTAATTTTTTGTGGAAATTGGCTGTCTATGATATTAAAAAAACAAATATTTTCCCAGTATGTTGTTTTTTATCTTTTGATTTTCTTTATAGTGATATTTAGTGCATACTTTTACTTTTTAATCAAGTTGAATTTATCATTTTTAAAATGGCTTCTGGATTTTGAGTTGTAGTTAGCAACATCTTATACACTTGAAGGTTGTAAAGAAATTCTCCTATATTTTCTTCAAGTACTTTTTCCATATGGCTACTCATTTGTTAATAACAATTTATTGAATATTTTGTTTTTTATATAATGATTTGAGATGGTACCTTTGCCAGATTCTAAATTCCCATGTGTATTTTTGGTATTCTTCTGGACTTTATTTTCTCTGTTATTCCATTAATTCACCAATAACTTTCTGTTTCAATTAAGGATCTTCTTCTTCATAGTTTTCCTGGTTATAGTTACAGTTTATTTTTCACATAATTTTATAATCAGCTTGTCTTAATAAATTCCTGTTGGTAATTTTTATTGGGGTCTCTTTAAATTTATGAATCAGTATAGAGAAAACTGACAACTTTATGATGAGGAATCTTGCTAACCAAATCCTGGTATGTCTTTCCATTTATTCAAGTCTCTTTTGTGTCTGTTAGGACAGTATTAAAGTTGTCTTCATATGAGTGTAACACATTTCTTGTTAAGATTGTTTCTAGGTATTTTATCTTTAGTAATTTGGTAATTGCTATTGAAAATTGGGCCTTATTTTACATTTTTTAAAAAATAATCTTGCTTTTGTTAGTGTATGCTACAATGCAAGTGGCAGGAATACAGAACTGTTTTCTTTTGTACCTGTTTTTATTTTTATTATGATTATGATTATTTTTTGAGACAGAGTCTCGCTCTGTTGCCCAGGCTGGAGCGTGGTGGCGTGACCTCGGCTCACTGCAACCTTCATCTCCCGGGTTCAAGTGATTCTCCTGCATCAGCCTCCCGAGTAGCTGAGATTACAGGCATGTGCCACCACACCCAGCTAATTTTTGTGTATTTCGTAGAGATGGGGTTTCACCATGTTGGGCAGATTGGTCTCGAACTCCTGCCCTCAAGTGACCCGCCCACCTCAGCCTCCCAAAGTGCTGGGATTACAGGCGTGAGCCACTGCGCCCAGCTTCTTTTGTACCTTTTTGAATTAATCATAGAATAATTTCTAGAATAGTCATTGATTTCTTTTGTTTCTTTCTAAGACACTGTATGCAGATATTCATACTAGATGGCTCATTTATAGCTATAGTACATTAAATGAGTCCTATTTTAAATGGAATAACTTTTGAACTCTCAGCAGGAAATTTATCCTCTATTTTTGTTAAATAAAAAGCATTGGTGCATTTACACACTATTACAGAAAAAAGCCAGTGATTATAAAACTTAAAAATGTATTTCATTCAAAATTCAGTTCCAATTGTTACCAATGTATTTACATAACCTATGTATAGTCATGGGTCACTTAACAGTGGGGATATGTTCTGAGAAATACGCCCTTAGGCAATTTCATTGTTGTACAATCATCATGGAGTGTAATTACACAAACAGAGAGAGTATAGCTTACTACACACCTAGGCTCCAAACCTGCACCTTGTTTTACTGAACTGAATATTGTAGGCAATTATAACACAATGGATAGTATTTATGTATCTGAACATATTTAAGAAGAGGTACAGTAGAAAACTTAAAAGGTACAGTAAAAATACAATATAAAAGATGAAAATAGTATACCTGTATAGGGCATTTACCGTGAAAGGAACTTGCAAGACTGGAACTTGCTCTGGGTGAGTCAGTGAATGGTAAGTGAATGTGAAGGCCTAGGACATTACTGTAGACTACTGTAGACTTTGTAAATACTGTACACCTAAGCTACACTGAATTTATTTAAAAAGTAATTGTGCTATGACATTACAAGGCTATGATGTTACTAGGCAACAGGAATTTATCAGCTTCAGCTTCATTATGGGACCACTGTTGTGTATGCTGCCTGCATTGACTAAAATGTCATTATACAGTTGCATGACTGTATTTATTGTTATGTTCTTTTTTGGACTGTTTTTATAGTTTAGATTATACTTTGGAAAAATTACTGAGCCTCTCTCGAGCTCCAGTTTCCTTGTCTTTGAGATGGGACAAATAATAGGACCTACACCATAGGGTGCTACTTCACTGGATTGTGTGGGAGAGTACATGTGGAGCTCTAGTGTGTTCGTTCCTTTACTTGTACAACTCACCAGAAGGATGACAGCTGTCATGAATAAAGCATGTGCTTTGCCCTGCCCAACTACAAGGTCCCACTACCAGTTGAAGAGTATACTCTGATTCATTGTGAAAATGCCAACAAGTGTGGTTATCCCTTGCTGGAAAGCAGGTTAAAAGGATTTTCATAATTCTGTACCTCTTCTCTTTCCTCCAGGCCTACTCTGTGAAGAAAACATTGATGACTGTGCCAGGGGTCCACATTGCCTTAATGGTGGTCAGTGCGTGGATAGGATTGGAGGCTACAGTTGTCGCTGCTTGCCTGGCTTTGCTGGGGAGCGATGTGAGGGAGACATCAACGAGTGCCTCTCCAACCCCTGCAGCTCTGAGGGCAGCCTGGACTGTATACAGCTCACCAATGACTACCTGTGTGTTTGCCGTAGCACCTTTACTGGTGAGAAGCTCTCTAGCCTCCTGGCCACTCTGCCTTGGAAGATGGTTTTAGTGAACAAATTGGGCCCTGTGACTTGTCCCAGACCCAAGTGAAGTCTTTCTTATATAAGAAAAACAACAGTAGCTTAATTTTTAAAAGCCAGTTTTTTCTTGGTCTGTACTCTATGGATGTTACAATCAGTGTCTACCTTTAATTTTTCCTGAGAGATTCTATTGTTGTGCATTGATTATATCATGCTATGGCAGGAATATTTTTTACAGTGTATATTGAAAGTAGTTGAACAAAATAACATTTCTTAATAGTGGCAAAATATCCAAAACCTAAAATTTACTATCTGAGTCATTTTAAAGTGTACAGTGTACAGTTCAGTGGCATTGTTTAGTACATTGACATTGTTGTTCTACTATCACCACCATTCATTCACAGAACTCTTTTCATCTGAACAAAATAACATTTTGTTTTAAGGAACCTTACGTCTAACTCTGGTTTCTTTGCCCTGCCTCCTTTGACATGTGAGGCTTGAATTACAGGGTAGTTCCTGCCACCGTGATCATTCCACTCCTAGGACTCAGAGAAGCTTAGGACCCTGCTTAGATACTTAAAGGGAGCAGGTCCAAATTCAAGTGTCTTTAACCAAGGATCGTTGATATGGGTATGAAATGAAAAGTGGCAGCAGTCACAAGCAATGCCCTGCTCAGTAAAGGCTTGACCATGTTCCTACTCTGTTCCCAAGCTGCTTTCTTTCATCACAGGGCATGAAGATGACCAAGCCCTGCCTCAGAAATAGGGGTCTTGTCACAAGAACTTACTAGTTACTTCTGGAGAGGGCAGCATGGTGACTGTTGGGAACTAAAATAGTCGTTTGTATCCAGATGTGGCAGGATACTCAGATTTGAAAATTATCATGCATTTCCTGGGGTCTGTAGTTGTATTTCTTATACAGAGGGTGTGATCAGATTCCTTGGGAGTCAGAAAATAGGCTTTAATAGTCTGTTTACAAACAATTCATCAAGCTGAACTCTGCTATATCCTGAGCCCATCTTCAGCCATCTTTCCTTCCAACTTTAAAGATATGCTACCTTACCATCTTAGAATTTTATAAAGAATAGGGATTCTGCAATATGGAAGCTCCCTGAATACACTAACATCCAAAAAGAAATAGTCCGTTGTGAACATAATAGCTATCGAGGCAATGTGGAACAGAATGAGTATGAACAGTCTGTCTACAGCCTCGTATTGGCCATACTGCAGCTGGAAAGCCAACGAAGCAAAACTGGCTCCCGTTTCTTTCATTGCCCCTGAGGCATTTTTCCCTGGAAACACTGACAAGCATTTGCAAAGTAAGGGGGAAGCAGGAGAAGGAAGGAATGGAGACCACTTTGAAGTAGTGTCCCACAGCCAGGAAGTAGTGTTTGTGTGTTTTCCACTTTGTGAATGAAAAAAAAAAAAAATCTGTTGAATACATTGAGCGCAATTATTGTGGATGCTGTTGCAGAGATAAACAGCAAGGGACTGGTGGTCCACCAAGCTGTGTCCATGTGGTGGTTGCTCTTGGTTAGTGGCTGCTGCTGTGATTTGAAGAGACAAACATTTATACCTCTTGCTGCTTGATCTCATTGGCCAAAAACATTATATTTTTGTTTCATTTTTAAAGCTACCTCTTCTTTCCTGAGTGACCACAGGCCAGGTGGGGCCTATCTCCTGCTATTGACCAGGAGTCCCAGCTGTGCCCTGCGTCTCCTCTGTGTTTCCAGTTGACTCGTTCTTTATCTTGGAGCAGTGGCCCCCAGGGTCCTTCTGTTTTGGAACTATTCCTAGAGGAAACTAACTCTAGGAAAATTAAGCTGCATTTTAAGGAACTGAGTTAGGTTACGAAAGGCCAAAAAGTGATTGAAATGAGATATCACAGATGAAAATTCTCTATGCTGCAAATCACCTTTTAAATATATTGGCCTGATACAGCCTCTCCTATGAAGTAGATGACATTAACAAAATGCAGTGAATAGTTTTTCAACTGTTTCCTGCAATTTATGAAAGCTAAAGTGACTTCAAAAAGCTGAAGTGTGATTTCTCTTTTTTTGGTGGGATTTAAGTCACTTTTCTCACCCATCCTGTCGTGTGAGTTGGTACTTATTGTGGAGGCAAGACAGAGTAAGGGACTGGCCTGAGCCAGTGACAGGCCAATCATGCTGAGACGCAGTGAGTGTTTTCTTCCTATGCTCAGATTAGCACAGGCTTAGAACTGAACTCTCTCACACTTGCTTCACCTATGGCTAGTTCCCATCCCAGCAAAGTTTATTCAGTAACTTGCAGTGACTACTTCTGCCTTTTAAAACTTTTTTTATTTTTTATTTTCTGAGGCCGGCACTGTGAAACCTTCGTCGATGTGTGTCCCCAGATGCCCTGCCTGAATGGAGGGACTTGTGCTGTGGCCAGTAACATGCCTGATGGTTTCATTTGCCGTTGTCCCCCGGTAAGTGCCCTGTTGCTCATCTAAGAAGGGGCATTGTCTCTTCCATACAATCTGTGACAGAACTGAGATTAAACCTGGTTTAATCAATCTTCCAAATGGGAAGATTTCTCAGTTCTACTCTTTCACAAGAAAGTGCTTGGGTTCTTCCATTTAAAGCTGTTTACAAGTGACAAAACAAAACAAAAACAAAAGTAAATAACAGCTGTTTAGATACTCCCAGAAACAGTGAGCTTCCCAATCCATGACTGTCAGTCTTAAGAAAAACTAAGGGAAAACCACAAAAAGTGGTGGAATGCCCCCTTGAAAATAGGGCTGATGTATGTGGCTTCTTGACCCCAGGCTGGAGGGTAATCTCACTGCCCAGGTTGGGCCAGAGTTGGTGGAAATGCTGCTCTGCTTGCATTCTTTAGCAGGTTGCAAATTGGAAGCATTTGCAAATTGGAAGCAGGTTGCATTTGGAAGCAAGTTGTCTCTTAAAGTAGAGGGAAGCTTAATTTTAGCTCTTTGCTATACCCATTCTTTTATCACTGCCAGAGGCTGAAACCTTCCCAAAACAAGAGATTCCTATGCCTCGGGAGATACCAAAAGGAAACCTGTCTAGTAACCTTGGCTTGGGCTGAACAGGAAGTACAGAAGGGAGTAGTGAGATGTGGAGGTTCTCTAGAAACCCAAAACTTCCAATATGACTGTTTTCCTACCAATGCCATTTTTATTTCCTTACTGATTTCCACAGGGATTTTCCGGGGCAAGGTGCCAGAGCAGCTGTGGACAAGTGAAATGTAGGAAAGGGGAGCAGTGTGTGCACACCGCCTCTGGACCCCGCTGCTTTTGCCCCAACCCCCGGGACTGCGAGTCAGGCTGTGCTAGTAGCCCCTGCCAGCACGGGGGCAGCTGCCACCCTCAGCGCCAGCCTCCTTATTACTCCTGCCAGTGTGCCCCACCATTCTGGGGTAGCCGCTGTGAACTCTACACGGCACCCCCCAGCACCCCTCCTGCCACCTGTTTGAGCCAATATTGTGCCGACAAAGCTCGTGATGGCGTCTGTGATGAGGCTTGCAACAGCCATGCCTGCCAGTGGGATGGGGGTGACTGTTCTCTCACCATGGAGAACCCCTGGGCCAACTGCTCCTCCCCACTTCCCTGCTGGGATTATATCAACAACCAGTGTGATGAGCTGTGCAACACGGCCGAGTGCCTGTTTGACAACTTTGAATGCCAGGGGAACAGCAAGACATGCAAGTAAGGGCTTCACGTTTTCCAGAAGCTGAAGGGGACTGTCACTAACACACTTCAGTTTCTCATTCTTGCTCCTAACCACTCCAGTGCTTCAGCCTAAGCTGCCTCTGCTTTTCAGATGGTGCCAGCCTTGTCCCATCGCACACTACCCTGTGCTCTCCCTTGCTGACAAAGGGCCAGGAATGCTCATTGCATAATGACCCTCTCTCTCTGCCTATCTCTGCCTTCTCACCTGCTGCCTTCGTGACCTCCTGGGGGATATAACTTTTGGAAGTGGTGTTTCCCACTTCAAGCAGCCTCTCACATAACCTGCCTGCAGGATGGATGGAAAGGTCTGTATCTCTCTCTTCACCCCATTCCTTTCCCTAAGACTGTTTTTCCCCACCCAGGTTTATCAGGAAGCATGAATTAGATTAGGCCTGTGAACCCTCCTGGTCTTAATTGTTATAGTTGTAGGATGCTGTATGGTTTACTTAGGAACTTTCCTATTAATTAGCCATTCCATCTAATTTAATCCAAGTTAATTCTCAACAACCCATGAGGCATAGGTATTATTAACATTCTTTCATAGATGAGAGAACTTAGACCCAAGGGTTAAAGAACTTGCCAGAGCAAGTTGTTTCATTGACTCCTAATCTTTTGATTGAGATAGCATGAAAAGTTGTACCAAATAGTATAAATATCAAGGGGTAGGGTATGAGGAGAGGAGAGTGTAGATGAAATAGTTTGTACATCATTTAGGTTTGGGGGTTCTAATTCCTTTTGCAAATATTGAAAGAGCCTGTACAAGTAAGGTCTGGTGTGCTACAAGGACATACCCATCCCCCTTTAGCTTCTGTAGCTGGGATTCGCTCTTGGAAGGGGAAGAAATGGGTCATGTTAATATGGTTCTCTATGGCAACTCTCAATGGTTCAGGGCCATTTATCAAGTTTCTAGAGGCATCTTTCACTTCCTAAAGCCCGTTGTTACCTTACTGGGGACAATGGATACAAAGTAGAGGAAGCACGAACCAGGCTGACTTTTGTTTCAGATATGCAGCTTTGTTTGAAAACCTGACTTAACAGGATTGTAAACTGCCTGGGAGTCCCTAAGCTCCTGCAGCGTAGTGAGTACAGTGTTCTTTGTTTAGGAAGTACACAACAAGGATGAGTGGCGTAGACGATACGTACTCTGTGACATCAGGGATAGGAGATGCAAAGAAGGTTTTGTGAGGCATTTGGGTCCTGGGTGTGGGCCACAGAAAATGGGTAGGAAAATCCACAGTTAGTTCCAAATGAAAAAGCAAATAGAGCTCCAGTCTAATCTGAGCCCCTTTCTCTTGTTCTCTGCTTCCCCTTACCTAGGTATGACAAATACTGTGCAGACCACTTCAAAGACAACCACTGTGACCAGGGGTGCAACAGTGAGGAGTGTGGTTGGGATGGGCTGGACTGTGCTGCTGACCAGCCTGAGAACCTGGCAGAGGGTACCCTGGTTATTGTGGTATTGATGCCACCTGAACAGCTGCTCCAGGATGCTCGCAGCTTCTTGCGGGCACTGGGGACCCTGCTCCACACCAACCTGCGCATTAAGCGGGACTCCCAGGGGGAGCTCATGGTGTACCCCTATTATGGTGAGAAGTCAGCTGCCATGAAGAAACAGAGGATGACACGCAGGTCCATCCCTGGTGAACAAGAGCAGGAGGTGGCTGGGTGAGTGTTTGGTTTCTGAACTTCAAGGCTAATTTTATGAAGCCTAGCACTTTGATATGTAGCACATGTCATAACTCAACCTATAGAAATGCAAGGATCAGACAAATAGAATGGCCCACCACTTAAGATAAACCCATTACCCCAGTACTTATGTTTAAATGTAAAGATGTGCCTTGATCTTGGGCTCCTGAAAAGTGGACTGGGGTACACAGAAGGCAGGATGCCTGGAAGGCCTTCTCGGATGCCAGAATCCATAACCTTTTGCCAGAGTTGCCTCAGATCCCTTTATTAGTGACATTCCTTTGTACATTAATCATTGCCTTATTGTCAAGGCCCTTCTTTAGAATATACGTCTCTTTGACACAGGTAATGATCTTCACTTGCTCTGTCATTCACACCTCACTCTTTGTTGGTATATTCTCAAACTTTCAACCCTCCAACTAGCTGAGATACCAATGCACAGACAAAGGAAAATAAGGACTAAAAATGCACAGGGATGTATTTTTAGAGTAGCACTAAGTACCACTGAGTAGGTAGGAAAGAATGGAAGAAGACCACTGAAACCTTCAGGAGGAAAACAACTTCTCACTTTGTCATGCATTGCCTTAGCCAGAAGGCTTTGGTCAGCTAGACTAAGGAAGGTGGGACATCCTCTATGTGGGAATTAGTGTTTAAGATCTCAAGGGACAATATCCTAATTTCTGAGATATGTCTTAAAGCAGCATGCCAGAGGTGGGGACCTGATGCTGAAGGGGAGGACGGGAGGCTCCCATCACCCTTTATGACACATTCTGCCTGACCTGCACTCTTCTGTTTTACCCCCATCCTCCTCCGCTTCTCCCTTGGCATCCCACAGCTCTAAAGTCTTTCTGGAAATTGACAACCGCCAGTGTGTTCAAGACTCAGACCACTGTTTCAAGAACACAGATGCAGCAGCAGCTCTCCTGGCCTCTCACGCCATACAGGGGACCCTGTCATACCCTCTCGTGTCTGTCGTCAGTGAGTGGCAGTGGTGTAAAGGGGAAAGGTGGCGGGGGGAGAGTGTCAGTTGGGGGAACAATTTTCATTATGTAGCCCTCTTATTTTTTCAGAACTGTTGAGGTCAAAGTTGCCCTCTAAATGAATCTAATGCTGACATTGAGAGGTTGATGTTTTATTCAGCACTTTCCCTGTCTCTGTGGACTTTCAGGTGAATCCCTGACTCCAGAACGCACTCAGCTCCTCTATCTCCTTGCTGTTGCTGTTGTCATCATTCTGTTTATTATTCTGCTGGGGGTAATCATGGCAAAACGAAAGCGTAAGCATGGCTCTCTCTGGCTGCCTGAAGGTTTCACTCTTCGCCGAGATGCAAGCAATCACAAGCGTCGTGAGCCAGTGGGACAGGATGCTGTGGGGCTGAAGTAAGAGGCGTTGCCAACAAGCCACTATTCACAGTATAAGTAGGGATGACTAGAAAAGCGTATCTTGTTGAATCATGATTTTAAATTCTAAGCTCTGGACATTTACTCGCACTGCCTGTGATTCTAAATGCCTTGTGAGTGACTGAAACCACAGTCAGAGCCTGGGTGCATCTATTCTGTGCATATTATCACAGTGCCACCCAGCTTCTGTGTTGAGGTGCGCTTTTGTTGTAAGCTCACGCTCAGTGGGAAGGGAAAGGATGAATGCCAAGGGAATATCACAGAAATACTGCCCATCTTCTCTGGGCCAAGACCCTGCAAGATTGTAATAGAGCCATGGGAGTGTGTCATGATGGAAAGTGTTGAAAACCGCTCTATTAGTTTATGACATAACTGCCATTCTTATTTTTTATTTTTATAATCATATTAGAAATCTCTCAGTGCAAGTCTCAGAAGCTAACCTAATTGGTTCTGGAACAAGTGAACACTGGGTCGATGACGAAGGGCCCCAACCAAAGAAAGTGAAGGTGAGGTGGCCATGGTAGAACCACCATTGTCAGACATTATCTGGTTACATTTCAAATTTCTGTCCTTTAGCTCCTGAGTGTCCTGAATGGGAGTAAAGAGTGATAGTCTTTATATGTTACCCAGACAATAACTATCCTAGGTTCTTTTAAACGGCAGGAATCCTTAGGACATTGATGACCTTGGGTTACCTATGTATACTCTTCAAGAATAACTCTTTAAAAATATTAAAACAAACACGTCTCTTTCCTTTTGTGTCATGCTGGCAGTAGTCAAGTTAGGAATGGTGTGTGTAGATGGCAATTCCTTCATGGCCACGTCTCTTCCTTATCCTGTATGGGTACTTCTCCTTCTATAAGAAAAGATGAAATTAAGCAGTAGAAGAAATTCAGTGATCATTGACATTGGTAAAACGAAAGCCAGTGATCATGGCAAAACGTTGACATTGGAGGCTCCATACTTTGAGCCCAGGAAACTAAAACCATATAAAAGCAAGTGGTAGATTGAGCTGAGACTGACATGAAAAAGGAGACCATCCACCCACAGCTATGCATTGCTGGGAGCTGGTAGAGCATGATGGTTAAGAAGACCATCGCTGGCCCTCACCCCTCCTCAGGCAGAGCAAGAGATGGATGTGTTGGATGTGAATATCTGGGGCCCAGGTCAGCACCTGGCCTCTTCCCCTCTTCACTGGGCTGTGTCTGCCCATGGTTCCACATTGCTGTCTCTGTGTTTGCCCCATCCAGCCATACACCCCTTCCCAGTTTCACAGACTGTAAATCAGCTTGAGGAAGTGAATGCTTAAGGAATGTAGCTGTGAAGAAATTATGATAGTAACTAATCTTTAGTTAATATCAGAACTGGATTCAAATCCAAAACTCTGCCACTTAGTAGCTGGCAAGTTACTTAACCTCTTTGTAATTATCATTTATTGTAAAATGCAGATAATAATAAACCTTTCCTCTGTGGGTTGTTGTGTTGGCATATGTGCCTTATCTAATTTCCTGTCATGTACTAAGTGTTCAGTAAAGGGTAGCTGCTTTTAAATTATCATAATTATTATTGAATAGTCTTTCCTGAGTGCTTTCTACATGTTGGGTGTTATGTTAAGTACAAGGAAGCAATGTTGAACAAGGCTTATTTTGCCTTCTCGAGAAGCTTACAGCCTGGTGGTGGAGATGGCCATGTAATACTATGTAAGCACTTAAAACAAGATCAGTTAAGCAGAGGTGAGCAAAGTATGCTTTTTAGGGCCAACAAGAAGAATTAAAGTTTACTTTCTAGTGGAGGGTAGGAAAAGTGAGAATTGGGTGCTCTGGAGATCTAAAGGCTAAAGCCTAGAGTTTGGGATGGGGGAAGGGAATTGTCTAGATGATGCAGGAAAAGTAAGCAGGAGCCACATCACGAGAGCAGTGGGAAGCCAAGGCTGAGGTAATCCTCCGGAGGGGTGGAGGAGTAGGAAGAGAGAAAACAATGGGAGATAAGCAGGGGTGGTGGAGACTCTGGACAGCTTCTCATTAGCAGTTTCTGGTGGTGGCCAGATTGATAGGGAGCGTTGTTTTCACCTTTCAGGCTGAAGATGAAGCCTTACTCTCAGAAGAAGACGACCCCATTGATCGACGGCCATGGACACAGCAGCACCTTGAAGCTGCAGACATCCGTAGGACACCATCGCTGGCCCTCACCCCTCCTCAGGCAGAGCAGGAGGTGGATGTGTTGGATGTGAATGTCCGGGGCCCAGGTCAGCACCTGGCCTCTTCCCCTCTTCACTGGGCTGTGTCTGCCCACGGTTCCACATTGCTGTCCCTGTGTTTGCCCCATCCAGCCATACACCCCTTCCCAATTTCACAGACTGTAAATCAGCTTGAGGAAATGAATGCTTAAGAAATGTAGCCATGAAGAAATTATCAACTCAGAAAGGGAAGGATTTCACATTGCTTCACGTACAGTGTGTTGAGACTAAACAGGCTGATAAAATGGGTTAGATTGTAGTAGGACAGAAAAATAATATCCCAAAGCAGAGGATAGTTAGTTAATACCTTATGCATATATCAGTTGCTCTATTAATATTACATATTTTTAAATGTCCAATTAAAATAACATATCACTTAAACTTGAAAAGAAAAACTTGTTTTATTTAGAGAAGAACCCCCAGCTTAAAAAGACTTGTACTTTCCCATTATTATTTACAGAAACGATGTCATCAGAGGAAAAGGTAGCAAATGTGAAACTAATAACCAGTTACTACAAGAAGTGCAGGGAATTCTTTGCCCCTAAGAGTAACTAAAATAGAGCTGTTTCAAGCTGAAGATAGGGTTAACTGCCTTCTCCTTCTTGAGTACTTTATGGAATTTTCCATTCCTACAGATGGCTGCACCCCATTAATGTTGGCTTCTCTCCGAGGAGGCAGCTCAGATTTGAGTGATGAAGATGAAGATGCAGAGGACTCTTCTGCTAACATCATCACAGACTTGGTCTACCAAGGTGCCAGCCTCCAGGCCCAGACGGACCGGACTGGTGAGATGGCCCTGCACCTTGCAGCCCGCTACTCAAGGGCTGATGCTGCCAAGCGTCTCCTGGATGCAGGTGCAGATGCCAATGCCCAGGACAACATGGGCCGCTGCCCCCTCCATGCTGCAGTGGCAGCTGATGCCCAAGGTGTCTTCCAGGTAAGAACATGAGAAGAGTCACTTGAATAATAATTCCTATGGCTCTGTACAGTTTTATCTTTTTTAAGGAACTAATATCTCATTGAATTTATTCAATCATTTGAGAGATTAGGGCAGGTATTAGAGTCATGCCTGCTAGATGGGAAAGTGGGAAGGGAGACAGGCAAACTGACCCAGCTCTATATAGGAAGATAGTGATAGAGCCAACTGCAGACAACAGCAGTCTTTCTGATTATTAGTGATAATTTGTTGTGCCAAGATGCTTCCCAAATGCATAGATTAGATGAGAGTGATACCTGGTCTGGAGCCTTTGACTTGTATCCGCTACTGCTTACGGATTGGCCTGACTGTATGGGCTTCCAGCTGCTCATTGGCAGTTTTCTTGACCTGAGTTCCTATTATATTCCTTGATGCCTGTTTATCCTTATGAGGAAATCAGAAGCATTCTGAATCACCTTAGACTGTAGACTGACTGAAGTTGTGATATTTCCCCACATCCCTCTTCTTTCCTGAGGAAGTAGAAGGCTCTTCACTTTACATCGGCCATTATTTATTGAGCACGTATTTGTTTATTTATTCAATCAGCAACTATTTATTGATTGATGACGATAGAATCTTGGGCACAAAGATAACAAGACTTTCCCTCCCCTCCGGGAACCTACAGTGTAGCCTCTGCTCTGATGCCCTTGTTTCTTCACTGAGTTTCATTATTTTCCTTCATCCAGGTGACTCTCTTTTCTGTATTTTCTCCTCTTCTAGATTCTGATTCGCAACCGAGTAACTGATCTAGATGCCAGGATGAATGATGGTACTACACCCCTGATCCTGGCTGCCCGCCTGGCTGTGGAGGGCATGGTGGCAGAACTGATCAACTGCCAAGCAGATGTGAATGCAGTGGATGACCATGGTAGGGATGAAAGGCAGGGATTTGGATTCTTACCTGCAAAGCATGCCTCTGAGGAGGGGGAATGGTTACATGACCCTTAAAGAACTGTCTGAGATTCAAATACGTGGGAGATTCACTCATTCTTTCATTCATGCATTTATTCATTCTTCCTTTAACATGCTGAGCTCAGAGATCCAAGCCAGTAGGAGATCCCTAATTAAAATGAGGGATTTTTAATGAGGGTTCTTAGACCTCAGAGCAGATACATGAAAGGTGTTCCCATGTAGTTTCCTAGGCATACCACTCTTGATTTGAGGATTTATGAGAGCTGATTTCTCTAGGAGAGTTGTGGAATATTCTCAATATAAATTCTGACATGTAATATATAGGTTTTTGTCTTCAGTATGTAACAGGGTAGATTCTGCCATGTAGGGGACATGAATACCTCATACAAGTGATCCTTTCACCTAGAGGTCTTCTGCAGGCTAGGCAGCCTGTACTGAAGTTTTCTAGAACAGAGGAAAAGGAAGAGATTACTTTGGTTTTTCCTATAGACCCCTACAGAGAACTGCTTCCTGCTGATCTCTGGGGAATTTAAAGTTTCGTTGTACAAGTCATGGTGTTTTTTTACTAAGAGTATGATATGTCTGTTTATAAAAATGTTTCTCCCCTTCAGGAAAATCTGCCCTTCACTGGGCAGCTGCTGTCAATAATGTGGAGGCGACTCTTTTGCTGTTGAAAAATGGGGCTAACCGAGACATGCAGGACAACAAGGTACAATTTGTGGGCTCTGAGCTTGAGGAGGCTCATAGCAGTGCCTCAGTTATAAGCCCCTTCCCATTTCTCCTTACAGCTTCTCTTGCGATATGTATAGACAAAGATGGAAGCAGTTTGGGCAGACACTGGGTTTGGAGAGCTTGATGAGAATATAGGGCTTCTCCAGGCATGTGTCAGGATGGAGTTCTTTTCCCTCTCGGTGTTCAGCTTGCAGTAGGCTGGCTATAGATAGCTTGGTGTAACCTTTTCTCTTCCCTGACATTCCTTTTCTCCAGCCGTCTCTTCTGTTCATAGTCACTTCTTTTTCTCTTGTTTTCTTTCTTTTTTCCCTCCTGCTGCTGCTTTTTCTATCCTTGGATACCCTGATGTTTTCCTGTTTGATTTTTCTCCATCTGAGTTTTTTGTCCTGCTTCCTTCTGTCATTCATCTTCTCTCAGTTTTCTTCATTTTCCTCATCTTAGTCCTTTCTTGCACATGTTTTGTCTCTTCTTTCTTTCGCTGTTTCCCTTATTTTTTCCCAGTTCTGTGCATGCCTTAGTTTTTTCTCTTCCTACCTTTCTTATTTCTAACTCCTTTTCCTATTAGAACCTTATTTTGATAAGCTCAGTACTCTTTTAAGTGAGTCTCTGGCTCAGGGGCATGCTTTATTTTATGAATTCCCAACTAAAGAGATGTTCCCCCTAAGGTGCAAAATTGTTTTTTGAGGAAAGGTGAAATAATCTTACTCTTTTTATGTATAAATCACGGATATACATTCAGTACACTGGTAGAGGCACAGCCTATCTGTGGTGTTAATATTTCATCGGGGAGATAATTAGGAAAACATGTCTAAGGGGGTGATAATAAGAAAGACTGAGAAAAACTGCTATATTCTCAAGAGTGTTATTAACGTGTTCTGTGATGGGCCTTTTCTGTAGGAAGAGACACCTCTGTTTCTTGCTGCCCGGGAGGGGAGCTATGAAGCAGCCAAGATCCTGTTAGACCATTTTGCCAATCGAGACATCACAGACCATATGGACCGTCTTCCCCGGGATGTGGCTCGGGATCGCATGCACCATGACATTGTGCGCCTCCTGGATGAATACAATGTGACCCCAAGCCCTCCAGGCACCGTGCTGACTTCTGCTCTCTCACCTGTCATCTGTGGGCCCAACAGATCTTTCCTCAGCCTGAAGCACACACCAATGGGCAAGAAGTCTAGACGGCCCAGTGCCAAGAGTACCATGCCCACTAGCCTCCCTAACCTTGCCAAGGAGGCGAAGGATGCCAAGGGTAGTAGGAGGAAGAAGTCTCTGAGTGAGAAGGTCCAACTGTCTGAGAGTTCAGTAACTTTATCTCCTGTTGATTCCCTAGAATCTCCTCATACATACGTTTCCGATACCACATCCTCTCCAATGATTACATCCCCTGGGATCTTACAGGCCTCACCCAACCCTATGTTGGCCACTGCCGCCCCTCCTGCCTCAGTCCATGCCCAGCATGCACTGTCTTTTTCTAACCTTCATGAAATGCAGCCTTTGGCTCATGGGGCCAGCACTGTGCTTCCCTCAGTGAGCCAGTTGCTATCCCACCACCACATTGTGCCCCCAGGCAGTGGCAGTGCTGGAAGCTTGAGTAGGCTCCATCCAGTCCCAGTCCCAGCAGACTGGATGAACCGCATGGAGGTGAATGAAACCCAGTATAATGAGATGTTTGGTATGGTCCTGGCTCCAGCTGAGGGCACCCACCCTAGCATAGCTCCCCAGAGCAGGCCACCTGAAGGGAAGCACATAACCACCCCTCGGGAGCCCTTGCCCCCCATTGTGACTTTCCAGCTCATCCCTAAAGGCAGTATTGCCCAACCAGCGGGGGCTCCCCAGCCTCAGTCCACCTGCCCTCCAGCTGTTACGGGCCCCCTGCCCACCATGTACCAGATTCCAGAAATGGCCCGTTTGCCCAGTGTGGCTTTCCCCACTGCCATGATGCCCCAACAGGACGGGCAGGTAGCTCAGACCATTCTCCCAGCCTATCATCCTTTCCCAGCCTCTGTGGGCAAGTACCCCACACCCCCTTCACAGCACAGTTATGCTTCCTCAAATGCTGCTGAGCGAACACCCAGTCACAGTGGTCACCTCCAGGGTGAGCATCCCTACCTGACACCATCCCCAGAGTCTCCTGACCAGTGGTCAAGTTCATCACCCCACTCTGCTTCTGACTGGTCAGATGTGACCACCAGCCCTACCCCTGGGGGTGCTGGAGGAGGTCAGCGGGGACCTGGGACACACATGTCTGAGCCACCACACAACAACATGCAGGTTTATGCGTGAAAGAGTCCACCTCCAGTGTAGAGACATAACTGCCTTTTGTAAATGCTGCTGAGGAACAAATGAAGGTCATCCGGGAGAGAAATGAAGAAATCTCTGGAGCCAGCTTCTAGAGGTAGGAAAGAGAAGATGCTTTTATTCAGATAATGCAAGAGAAGCAATTTGTCAGTTTCACTGGGTATCTGCAAGGCTTATTGATTATTCTAATCTAATAATCAAGACAAGTTTATGGAAATGCGAGATGAATGCAAGCCTTGAGTCCATGTTTACTCTCTTCTATTTGGAGCATAAGATGGATGCTTACTGAAGCCCAGACATTCTTGCAGCCTTGACTGTGTTTTAAGCCCTGCGGGCTTCTGCCATATCCATGAGAAGATTCTACACTAGAGTCCTGTTGGGAATTGTGCCCGGAATTCTGCCTGAATTGACCTATGCATCTTCTCCTCCTTGGACATTCTTTTGTCTTCATTTGGTGCTTTCGATTTTGCACCTCTCCATGATTGTAGCCCTACCAGCATGTTATAGGGCAAGACCTTTGTGTTTTTAATCATTCCGGCCCATGAAAGCAACTTTGGTCTCCTTTCCCCTCCTCTCTTCCCAGTATCTCTTGGAGTCTCACGAGGTTTACTTTGGTATGGTTCTCAGCATAAACCTTTCAAGTATGTTTCTTTAGAAAATGGACATACTGTATTATGTTCTCCTGCATATATCATTCCTGGAGAGAGAAGGGGAGCAGAATATTTTTCTTCCACAAATTTTGGGGGCAGGAGATCCCTTCAAGAGGCTACACCTTAATTTTTCTTGTCTGTGTGCAGGTCTTCATATAAACTTACCAGGAAGAAGGGTATGAGTCTGTTGTTTTTCTGTGTATGGGCCTGGTCAGTGTGACGTTTTATCCTTGATCGTCTAGTTACTATGACCCTCCCTACTTTTTTAAAACCAGAAAAATGTTTGGAATGTTGGAATGACCAAGCGGCAAGCTAACTTGTGCAAGAGCCGGCTACCCACCCACAGGTCCCCTACTTCCTACCAAGCATTCCATTGACTGCGTGTATGGAACATATTTGTCCCAGATCTGAGCACTCTAGGCCTGTTTTACTCACTCACCCAGCATATGAAACTAGTCTTAACTGTCGAGCCTTTCCTTTCATCTCCACAGAAGACACTGTCTCAAATGTTGTACCCTTGCTCTTTAGGACTGAACTTTCCTTAGCCCAAGGGACCCATTGACAGTTGTCTTCCTTTTGTCGGATGATCAGTCTCTACTTTCTGATTATCTTGCTGCTTAAAGACCTGCTCACCAATCTTTCTTTCACACTTGTGGTCTGAGTTATTGGTATACCCAGTATGTTCTCACTGAAGACATGGACTTTGTGTTTAAGTGCAGGAAATGGAAAGTTGGACTTGTTTTCTATGGTCCAAGACAACCCTATAAGAAGATTGGAAAAGGAGGAACTATATAGCTGTTTTCTGCTACCATTTCTTTTCCTCTGAAGCGGCCATGGCATTCCCTTTGGCAACTAACATAGAAACTCAACAGAACGTTTTCCTTTCCTAGAGTCACCTTCTAGATGATAATGGACAACTACAGACTTGCTCATTGTTCACACTGTGACTGCCCCTCACCTGAACCCACTGTTTGTATTCATGCTCTTGGCAGTTTCCTTGACTCTCTTTTAAGGGCAGAAGCATTTTAGTTAATAGTAGAAAAATAATAGTTTTCTTCCTCTTCTCCTTGGGCCAGTTAATAATTGGTCCATGGCTACACTGCCACTTTTGTCAGGTACTGTGATGCCCATGACACCTGCAAAATGAGTTCTGCCTGGGCATTTTGTAGATATTAACAGGTGAATTCCTGACTCTTTTGGTTTGAATGACAGTTCTCATTCCTTCTGTGGCTGCAAGTATACATCAGTGCTTCCCACTTACCTAATATGTCTGTTGGTGGCCCCATATGGAAACCCTGTGTGTCTGTTAGCATGATAGTTTACAAATGGTTTTTTCAGTCCTATCCAAATTTATTGAACCAACAAAAATAATTATTTCTGCCCTGAGATAAGCAGATTAAGTTTGTTCATTGTCTGCTTTATTCTCTCCATGTGGCAACATTCTGTCAGCCTCTTTCATAGTGTGCAAACATTTTACCATTCTAAATGGTGACTCTCTGTCCTTGGACCCATTTATTATTCATAGATGAGGAAAACCTTTCTGCATGGACCTCTGTGGACCACAGCATTCCTGCCTCTTCCTACCCTCCTGCCCCAGCCCCGCTTCTGAAAATATCAGCTGCTGATCCAGCCACTGGATATTTTATATCCTCCCTTTTCCCTAAGCACGATGTCAGACCAAATTGCTTGTTTCTTTTTCTTGGAATACTTTAATTTGGATCCTTTAGGTTTGGAGAAAGGGAATGTGAAAGCTGTCATTACAGACAACAGGTTTCAGTGATGAGGAGGACAACACTGCCTTTCAAACATTTTACTGATCTGTTAGATTTTAAGAACTCTTGAATTGTGTGGTATCTAATAAAAGGGAAGGTAAGATGGATAATCACTTTCTTATTTGGGTTCTGAATTGGAGACTCAGTTTTTATGAGATACATCTTTTATGCCATGTATAGATCCTCCCCTGTTATTTTTGGTTTATTTTTATTTTTATACATTCTTTCTTTCTTTGACTCCTCTTCTGCCTGCTTTTGGGGATAGGTTTTTTGTTTGTTTATTTGCTTCCTCTGTTCTGTTTTAAGCATAATTTTCTTAGGTGGGGGAGGCAGAGGTATGAGGGAAAGAGAGTCTGAGAATTAAAGATTTTAGTATAAGCAATTGGCTGTGATGCTGAAATCCATTGTATCATCTTATTGAATTTGACAATTTGTAATTCTTGCATAATAAAGAACCAAAGGTATAATGTTTTGTTGAGAGGTGGTTTAGGGATTTTGGCCCTAACGAATACAGTGAATGTATGATGACTATTTGGGAGGATACATTTATGTACCCAGAGGCCCCCACTAATAACTGGTACTATGGTTACTTCCTTGTGTACATTTCTCTTAAAAGTGATATTATATCTGTTTGTATGAGAAACCCAATAACCAATAAAATGACCGCATATTCCTGACTAAACATAGTAAGGAAAATGCACACTTTGTTTTTACTTTTCCGTTTCATTCTAAAGGTAGTTAAGATGAAATTTATATGAAAGCATTTTTATCACAAAATAAAAAAGGTTTGCCAAGCTCAGTGGTGTTGTATTTTTTATTTTGCAGTACTGCATCCCTGGCCTGGCAGTGTTACCTCATGATGTCATAATTTGCTGAGAGAGCAAATTTTCTTTTCTTTCTGAATCCCACAAAGCCTAGCATCAAACTTCTTTTTTTCTTCCTTTAGTTAGATCATAAATAAATGATCCTGGGGAAAAAGAATCTGTCAAATAGGAAACATCACGAAACTGAGCACTCTTCTGTGCACTAGCTATAGCTGGTGACAGACAGTTGCTCAGGGACAAAGTGCCTTCCAGTGGAAATGCGAAGTAGTTGCTATAGCAAGAATTGGGAATTGGGATATAAGTAATAATATTAATTATGCTGTTATGTAAACAATTGGTTTGTAATATTCCTTAAGTGAACTTTGCATAGAACTTAATATACAGGATTATAAAATAATATTTTGTGGCCGGGCGCGGTGGCTCAAGCCTATAATCCCAGCACTTTGGGAGGCCGAGACGGGCGGATCACGAGGTCAGGAGATCGAGACCATCCTGGCTAACTCTGTGAAACCCCGTCTCTACTAAAAAATACAAAAAACTAGCCGGGCGTGGTGGCGGCGCCTGTAGTCCCAGCTACTCGGGAGGCTGAGGCAGGAGAATGGCGTAAACCCGGGAGGCGGAGCTTGCAGTGAGCTGAGATCCGGCCACTGCACTCCAGCCTGGGTGACAGAGCCAGACTCCGTCTCAAATAATAATAATAATAATAATAATATTTTGTGTATAAATTTGTTATAAGTTCACATTCATACATTTATAAAGTCAGATATTTGAACATGAATACTTGATGTTGATAATATGTATGGCATTAGCAGTCTCATATTGACCCTAGCATCTTATTTCCATTTTCCATTATTTTGCAGAAACTTATCAATCACACATGCATAATTATAAATGGTAACAGTATTTTTTTAAATGACTTGAAATCTTAGGATATGCTTCTGCTAAGCAGATAAAGGAGCCTTGTTCAAGATCTGCACATTTAGGGTTTTAACGTAATTTAGCATTAATTGATTATGTTCAGAATGTTTTAATTTTATATAAAACATATTTAAGTCTTCATACTGGGTTTTATAATGGTGGAAGAATAAAATGAATTTGAGAGTGAAGGAATGATCACCTGTGCAGGCCGGCCACTCAGAGCTCAAGTTGCCACTTGCAAACTATTTGGGAACTAAATTGCTCAATGAAAACCTGCTTCAGTGGATCCAGGCTGCAGGCCATTGGGTGGCTGACCACATCCGGCCCCTGCAATTATAAGTCTTGAATGCTAGCCTTTGATTTTGCAGGGAGAACTCAGGACACTCCCAGATATGAAAGTCAAAAAAGGAGAGTAGTGCTGAAGCCAAGTGCCACCCTATCACAAAGCTGGAGCACTAGGCTTGGACACTAGACCATGAGCATGCCAGGAGAGGGGCTAGTGCCTCAGTCATGCAACTAAAAAGCTTCACGACCCAAGGAGAGGGGCTGCTTCCTTTCTCAGAACAACCTCCTTAACGCCCACATGCTTTTCAGGATGTGGGCAATGGGGGAACTGCGAGCCCATGACTGCCTCTGCCACTATGCCTTTCAGCCACAGGGTATATGAAGTGTGTGTGTGTGTTGTGTGTGTGAAAGAGAATACAACTTTTCCTTCTTTTGACTTAGCACTTAGCAAAACACGTTTAAAATATTTGTACCGGTCAAGTCCCAACCACAAAGTTGGGCACACTCAAATTAGGATACATCAAAGAGGGCGATTTACAAAGGATTAATTACAAAAGTGTATGTGCAATGTCAGGGACCAACACACAGTATTGCAGAAACCCGTGTTAGCATCAGCAGAGCTATTTCCACTTCTGGGCCCAGAAGACCAAGAGAAGTCATTAGGACCTGGAAGCAGAATCCTGTAGAGCAGGGGTCCCCAACCCGCGGGCCACTGACTGGATACCTTAGCCTATTAGGAACCGTTAGGAACCGGGCTGCACAGCAGGAGGTGAGCGGCAGGCAAGCAAGCATTACTGCCTGAGCTCCGCCTCCTGTCAGATCAGCAGGGGTGTTAGATTCTCATAGGAGCACGAACCCTATTGTGAACTGCATATGTGAGGGATCTAGGTTGCACACTCATGATAATCTAACGTCTGATGATCTGAGATTGAAGAGTTTCATCCCAAAACCATTCCCTGGCCCCAGTCCATGGAAATACTGTCTTCCACAAAACTGGTTCCTGGTGCCAAAAAGGTTGGAGACTGTTGCTGTAGAGCAAGCTACCTCAAGAAGAGCTGTGACTTCCTTCAAAGCACATAGTGGGCCTTAAGCCCTCTCAGAAAGAAGCTAGGGAATGAATGAATACCCTGATCTAATTCGCCTCACTGGGCTTTCTGTTTGCCGACTCCAGGTGGAAGCCTGCAAATATGGGAGCTGTTGATTATAATCTATCAATGTAAGTCAACTTTCTGGCTGAGAGCTTGGTGGAGAAGGAAAGAGAGTGAATCTGAAGGGGCAAACATATCACTATCTAAAATAACATTCTCCAACTATATTTCTGAGAAATTTCCACTGGTATCCTGTTATTGATGTGTCTAGGCAGAAAGCATAAAGTTAAAAAAAAAGTATATATTTAGAATCCTGACTTCTTTTTCTGATTTAGTAGTGTGTTTCTTCACTACTTTGGCTTTGAGTATTCAAACTGAAGACAGTCATCGGCAGTGGGATGAATAAATTCTGGCACATTCATTGAAATGAATGCTATGCATAAATGAAAAAGAGCAACTTGCAACAACACGAAGTATATTCATCAAAATAATGTTGAGCAAAATAAGCCAGACACAAGTAATTCTGTATGATTCTATTATATAAGTTTAGGAAAAACCAACCAATAGTAAATAGATAATCTGAACAGTGGCTACTTTTTGGGAGAAAGGTCTAGACTGAAGTGAGGGAAATAAGAATCTTTCTGGAGTCTGAAAGTATCTTGACCTGGGTAGTGATTACATGAGTGTATACATACATAAAACTTCAGGTAAAATTTAACTTGAGATTTATGCGTTTGATTTCTGTAAATTATACTTCAATAAAATGTATCTACAATAACCTAAAGAAATGTACAAGCATCTAATATTAGAATTCATAAAATGTTGATATTTTGTACTTATTTCAGATTTTTGAAGATGGCTTAAAACTCCTATATTTCATCCTCTAATTCCATTTCTCTTCCTGTTTTTTCCTTCCTCTTTCCCAGTTAGTTATTTTTATAAATTTGGTCTGTGGGGATTATTTTCTTCTTGAAAACGTTGTTATTTGCAATAGTTGGTCCATGAAAAAAGTCTGTTTTCAAATGCAATTGTATAAAATGTGGGACTCCATAATTGTGAATTTAATTGACTGAGTGAGACAAGCCAATGGAGTCAGCTTGCAAGGCAGGAGTTGTGGGCTCCAGCTGAGTAAGTCATACCCATCTGAGTCATGGCTGCCGTTTGGCACCACTTGGTGGCACTTGTGTGCCTCAGCATAAATATATGTGGGATTGATTCTGGACTTTGTAACCTGGCTGAGAATTTCAAGAGCTTCAAAAGCCTTATTGTAAAACATCACCTGTCTATTTCACATGCCTATTTGAGAAAATTTAGGCCGGGCAAGCACTGAGATGTAGGGACCCAGTCCTGTCCCTCTGTCATGCAATTGTCTCACATTTCTCTGTCTCTCTGCTTTTTCTCTCTTCCATGACCCCTTTTCCTTGCCTCCTAGGAAAGGTTTCAGAAAGTGGATTTGAAGACCACTTTCCAACCACTAATCATATTACATTGGAATCTGTGTTACTGTGCTTAGGTTTTACAATTAAAACTAGGGTTTTACATATAATAATTAGAAAGGAGGTTAATATGACTATATACCTGGACAACTGAAGAAAACAGAACTACCATAAACTATTAGGGATTCAGTAAATAAAATGATGTAAAACCAGTTCACAGAAGAACCATTTGGAGGATGTAATTGAAAAGAAGACCACATTTACAATAGTGCACACGTGCACACGCACACACAGCCACACACCCCAATAACTTTAAAAAAATTCAAACCCAGTGGAGGGGCTTCAAGACAGCTAACTAGAGGCTTCTGGTACTTGTGTTTTCTACAAAGAAGAACAAAAATAGCAAGAAGATAATCACACTCCAAATAGATCATCTAAAAGAGAACACAGGAATTCAGCAGAAAAGTGACCGGAAACACCTACGGCAAAGAGAGAAGTGAGGCAGCCTGCTCAGCCATGACTAGCTGGGAGCCCAGAGAGGCTCCCCAATGTGGGGAAAGGGTAAGTGAGAGACCCCCAGCAGTCCACATTCCCACTGCAGATTATTGCAATCCTAACCATGAGATATCTCCTCGACCCTTGAGGACCTTAAAGCTAACATAGGAAGCTGCCTGAAGACCCTACAACTCTACTGCTCCACAAGGGGAGCTCACGCTGGGTCCTGCACACACTACCCCTGGCAAATCCTAAGCAGCTACTACAAGGTTCCATTTTGAGGGTCCATCCCTCAGCAGACTGAAACCTGTCATTAGGCCCAAAAGCCTCTGCATCTCCACATCCTGGGTCCCCCGTTGACATCCTCCACCCAATTCTACTGCCAGGCCCAAAGTGTAAGCCATTGGCTGTGACACTGCCCACCCCCAGCAGTTGGCCACCACACATTTACAAGCAAACTAAGGACAGGCTACCTCATGCACATCTTCCACTTAGGACCAAAGCATGCACTCCCCAACCACCTGCCCATGGTTGCTGCCACTGAAAACAACCCTGCCCCCTAGCAGCAGGGTCACAGGGCATCTGCTGCCACCCTCACCCAAGCATTCTTCCAGGGACCTGGTGTATTGGTCAGAGTTCTCCAAAGGGACAGAACTAATAGAATATATGTATATATGAAAGGGAGTTTATTAAAGAGAATTGATTCACGCGATCACAAAGTGAAATCCCGCAATAGGCTACCTTCAAGCTTAG